ATGTTTTGAAGAAAACTCTGGGGTTGTGCTTATTGAGTACTCGTTTGACGTCTCTGATGTTCTATATGGAATGACAACTATTGCGGCCCAAGCCTTTGAAATACGTTTTCCACCATATTTAGTGTCAATGTTGATCAAGTCCTTTGGGTAGTTATTTTGCATGACAGTCTCAGTCCGTTAACATCAAAGAGTGTGCTCGTCTAAGAAGGTTTTTGAAACAATTGATACAACGTCGAGTATGAATGACATTTTACGACCTAAACTCAGAGTACTATTAAGGATTCTTCAATGAGTAATCAGTTGCCATTCGACTCTGTCGATCGGGAAGTTCTCTGGAGATGCTTGGCTGTAAAGGGAATTCCAAGAAATATATTGCCTGATTAAGGCACTCTACTCGTACTCATACAGCCAGGTGAGGGCTTACGGCGAGCTGTCATCTGAACTGATGACGACCAGTGGTGTCCGTCAAGGATGCCCATTATCTCCTTTTCTATTCAACTTCATCATAGATGTGTTAATGGACTTAACCCTAGGTGACTTCAGCGATCAGGGATTGACTTGCTACCGGGAATAATCTCGTTGACTTGGAATATGCAGACGATATAGTCCTTCTAGGCGAAGACGCTGACGAATGCAGAGTCTTCTAAAACCTTGAGCCAATCTACGAATGTTTGGCATGCGATTCGCTCCCGCCAAATGCAAGATGATGTTACAGGACTGGACTACATCGACGCCTAGTTTAAAAATAGGAAGTGAAGTGGTAGAGCACGTTGACCGCTTCACTTATTTGGGAAGTACCATCAGCCCCAACGGGCTGATCTCTGACGAATCTCAGCACGAATACAAGGGGCTCGTTTCGCATTTGTTAGTTTACGCCGACTCTGGCGTAGACGAGATGTTCGACTATCGACCAAAGGGCGGGTGTACTGCTCATCAGTCCGCTCCGTCCTCCTTTATGGTGTGAGACCTGGCACTGAGAGTGGAAGACATGAAAAGCTAGCTGTCTTTGATCATAGGTGCCTGCGTTCTATTTCCCGTGTAAAGTGGCATAATAAGGTGAGCAACATGAAGTTAGGCGTAGAGTTCTAGGTAAACAGGGGAAATCAATCGACGAAGTCGTGAAGTTACAAAGACTGAGATGGTTAGGACATGTGTTACGTATGCCAAGCCATCGCCTCCCTCGACGAGCAATGTTAGCGGATGTAGGGTCAGGCTGGAAAAAAGCTAGCGGCGGTCAAACAAAAACTTGGCACAGTCAATGAAATCCACAACAGTTGGTCTAAGCCACGTAGAAAGGTGTAGACTTCCAGGCTGGGGTCCTCGGGACGGTAAAAATCTATGGTTGGAAACAATTGGTGACATGGCTCAAAACCGTTCTCAGTGGCGCAGATGCATCCACTCTCTGTGACTTATGATCTTCAATGAAACTGTTTTGTATTTCTTTATTACTCCTTTGTCTCACACCTCTGCTCACTGTTTCTATTATGCTTTTCTTGTACTTTCTTCTCTTGCTTCGCGTGCTACACGGAATGTGGCGACTTGAACTTCCGCACATTTGTGCAAAGTTCTATGTCGAAAACAGACAGTTGCCATATGTTACCTAATTTTCATATAAGATAGTAAAGACAATCTCTTCAAAGATGCCAGTGGACAGTAGAGAGAGAAAACAATTAAAAAAAAACTTGCAGCTCTGAGCTGTACTAGGTTTTCTGTAGAGTCACATGCACTGTACAAATACTTACACACTGGAAACCCTATAAAATAAGTATCATTATTCTGGGAAAAAGTTGTGTACAGAATCCTCGGCGTAATCTACTGCATAATATCTTCTCCACATTGAGTACCTTCAGGTAAAATAGTGATCTGACGTTATATCATGTGACGCAAAGTTGTTCGATCTCAAGCATATATGTGCGTCGGTGGCACAGTGGTTAGGACTCTCGCCGACCATGCACATGGTCTGGGGTTCGAGCCCACCCCGACGCACACCTGATATCTATGGCCGGCCTGCGAATTTCGGGCTACCGATATCTACGCTGAAGATTCCATACTTGTACAAAAATACTGTGGAATCAAGCTATAATCAAAAAATAAATAAATAATAAGTACTAATAATCCCTCATGGTATTTATTTTTCCCTAGTCTACGAGAAATACACACCGGGTTATTTTCAAAGCTAATTATAAATTCGTGCATGAAAACATTGTGTTTTTTCAGCTCAAGGACACAGCTGATTGGTTAAAACAATAATAACTAGAGGAAACACTATACTCTGTATTTATTATTTTATAACGGTACGTTCCCAGTGGGAGATAGGCCTTCAAACTATAGGCTTGAAGTTTCGTTAACAGTGATGTTTATTTTTACTGGATGGATGAGGTTGCTAGCCAGCCTAGCGAGGTAAAGCAGGTCATCGGCTGGAGATCGAACCCCGAACCACATACGCAACGTGGTTGGCGAGCATTCTACCACTGATGCCACCGATACTTCGTGATGGATGATAGCCCTGTGAGTGATTTAAGCAGAGGTGATCAATATTAGATAGAAACCGAGCCCGGATAGCTCCGTGGTAACACTTCTCAGACTGCCACACACTAGGTGACGACATCGACTCGAGTCTCACAATGAACATAAATCAATCAATCAGTTCCTTAAAGGTTAGACATATGCCTAGTCTAATGAGTGCCAACAACAAGCACCTGGAACCTAGATCAGACAGAGAGAGAAAGAGAGGGAACTTCCTACCAATAATTCCTATGAATCCCCCAATCAAGCCAAGACTAAGCTCCATCATCACACACTAATTAATCCAGATTTATTTATTCATCATCTTAGATAACAACTAAAATCACAGTTCAAAATCTTTACTGAACCGTTAAGTGCTGTCTGTCTGTTTTTGACATAAAACTTTGCACCGATGTGCACAAGTTCAAGTCGCCACACTCCATGTAGCACACAAATAAAGAGAAAAAAGTACAAAAAATGCATAATACAGACAGTAAACGGAGGTGTTAGACAAAGAAACAGTAATAACGAAGAACAATATACTTTCATTGGAAATTATAAGTCACAAGGAGTGGATGTATCTGCGCAACCCATCACCGAGAACGATTTTGAGCCATATAATCAACTGTTTCCAACCATTGGTTTTTACTGTCCTGATGACCCTTACCAGCAAGGAAGTCTACACCTTCCTACGTGGCTCTCTGACTTAAGCTAACTGTTTTGGATTTGATTGACTGGTGCAATGTTTTGGTTTGACTACCGCTAGCTCTTTTCCAGCTTGATCGATACTATTTCAGCTAACATTGCCCGTCGAGGAAGGCGATGGCTAGGCATGCATACGTAACACATGTCCTAACCACCTCTCTCAATCGGTGTAACTTCACAGCCTCGTCGATTGATTTCCCCTTCCACCTACCTAGAACTCGACCGAAGCCTAACCTCAATAATGCTCACCCTATTACACCAATTCACACGGGAGACGGAACGCAGGCACCTATGATCAAAGACAGCTAGCCCGGCTTTTCATGTCTTCCACTCTCAATAGCCAGGTCTCACAGCCAGCCAAAAAGGAGGACGAAGCGAATTGCTGAGCAGTACACCCGCCCTTTGGTCGATAATCAGCCAACCGGATATCACGTCTACTAAGCCAGAGACGGCGTGAACTGGCGGGCATATGCGAAACTAGCCCTCTGTATCCGTACTCAGCTGAGATTTCGTCAGAGATCAACCTGTTGGAGCTTCCCAAATAATTGAATCGGTCAAAAAGCACACGAAGCCCTCCTGAGCCATCATTCTTCTCTACCCACATTCACCAACTGTTAAATACACATGCACAAGGGGATATAGAATACTCTCATTTACCTAAGCACCACCTTCACAAATAAAGCGGTAAGAGAAAACCAAAACATCTGTAGAACATTTTGTATCATTATTGTCATCATCATGATTATCGTTATTAATATTAAATAATCAATGCATTATCATAAATGATTAGTAGTCATAGTAGTAGTAGAAGAGTTTTACATATAAGTATATAAAAAAGTGAGTGAGTCAGTGGGTGACTGATTGATTGACTGAATGGAGCGGTAAAGGTTTTTTTGCACATGGTTATTTCAAAATTGACACAAATAAAGAAAGAAGGAAGGAAAGACGTCACCATTCTCGTCAATCGATGATTACATATACAGTGAGTGTGTATATATGCATATATATATATATATATATAAGGTAAATAATGTATAGAAAGATGATATAATCGTTAAGAAAGTAAAAACAAGGAGAGAAGAAGAAGCAATAAATGTCTCCTAAATATCAACGACATGAGTAGTCGTCATCGTCGTCGGTATAGTGTATAAGAGCACAGTAGTAGTAGTGGTTGGTTGGTGGTGGTAATGATGCAATGATGAGTGTGAATAAAGGCGAAAACCAAAATATAAAACAAAAAGAAGAGAGTATGATTGTTGTTTAATTGCATTTAAGTGCCTAATAGCACCCCACCTCCCCCGACTACTTCCTCGGGTACGTAGACGCTCACGTCGCCAGCCAACCAGCCCACCCGCCCGCACACTCGTCCATCCGCATTTTCAAATTCATTCACAATATATATATGCACAACATTAGGTCGGTTGGTCGGTCAGTCAGTTAGTATAGCTGCGTCAGCCAGCAGTAAGTAGTGTAATTATTGTGCAGCATAGGTAAATGTATATGTATAAATAAACAAAGTGGAATATACTATCATTTCTAAAACTAGCATAGATAATATATAGAGTAAAAATAATGATGATGAAATATATAATGCAAGAGAGAATACAAGAAGGAGTTTCATTATTTACAAATATAGAGCCATCCATATATATGTATATATGCATGCGCCAATGGAGCATTAAAATCGACAAGACAACACATGATCGTATAGTATACACATATTATCCCATGAGAAAGAAAGGTTACACTTGAATATGTATTGTTTCTACTCTTCTCTTCCCTTCCTATTATTATGGTTGTGATGAGGATAGACGTGAATTAAACTGAGCCGGTAGACCAAATGCGTTAGCCATAGCCGCGGCAGCAGCTGCCACTGCTGCTTGTTGTTGTTGCTGCTGCTGCTGGTGTTGATGTTGTTGCTGCTGTTGATGATGACTGTATTGCTGCTGTTGTGTGTTAGTGGTAGGATAACGTTGTTGTTGTTGGGAAAGTGGTGATCGATATCGATCTGTTGTATTTATAGGATTATTTTCCAGAAGGTTGTCTGATTGATTGCCACCGCCAGCTACTAAGGATGTTGCTGCTGCAGCCAATGCGAAAGCATTCAAAACAGCTGGATCCTATAAGAATGAAAGATAATACAAAGAAAATGAGTTTATGAGTTTGTTTGTAGGGATTTGAGACTCATCCACACGGGGTTGCGAACCTAGGACCTCCTGGTTACAAGTCAAGCTCGTAGACCATTCAGCCACTGAGACCCCCCCTCCATTAACTCAGTAGCGCGACCACCAACCACTGTTAATGTCGCCGAGTATTTGTCCTCACTCCTGACCAAGCGAACGTCAATGGTCATGGCTTTTCACTAGAACTCCAAGGAACTTCGTCCTGCAGTCAGCCATTCACTAGCGAGCATCAAATTCATAGAGTCGCGTCCCCGTGGGTGGATGGTTTACCAGCTTGCCTTGTAACCGGAAGGTCCAGGGGTTTGCAACCAAGTGGGTGCGTACTGTCGATGAGTCAAAAATTAGGACGAAATAACTGTCCAGTACTCCATGCTATGTGTTGTATTAGTTATACAGAAGTATTTTGTGCTAAGTAAGCGAAACAGCACACAGTATGTTTATCAGAGGATTTCCGAACATCATCCTGCGCGGTTTATAAGCAAAGGATAGAAAAGGTCTCGTATGTTATGAAAACCAAATCGATGTTTAAAAAAAGCTCTAAACGTTATCTACCGTATTCCGACTAATGTTTTACATATATATAGCTGAAATCATCAGAATCATCCACCTACCTTAAGAAGCCTAACTTATATGTTGAGAAGTTCGTGTTCACCCGCTTTCTCTAATTTGGCCAACAATCTTTCAATGTTTTGTATGATACAAAAGTTATATATAGCCAGTTGAGAAGAAGAATTCTCGAAATAATAACATTAAAAGGTTTTTTCCTTTATGTTTCTAGTGGAACATTGAGCACATCCAAGTTAGAGAGCTTGAAGTTTGAGTAAGAGTGGTGTTTATTTTTACGGGGTAGGTCACGTGCTGTGCATGCCTAACCACCGCCTCTCCCGACGGGCATTGCTAGCTGATATAGGTTCAGGTTGGAAAAGAGCCAGTGGTGGCCAAACAAAAACATGGCCATCAATCCATGAAATCCTTGACAGTTAAACTGAGTCAGGTAGGGAGATGCAGACTCCGGGTTGGGGGCCTCGGGACTCTAGGAATCAATGGTTGGAGACAGTAGGTGACATGGCTCAAAATCGTTGTCAATGGCCAGCGGAGATGTATTCAGTCTCTGTAATCTTTCATATTCCTTTCTACCATTACCCACTCTGTTTCACTCTTATACTTGTCAGACTGTATTGATTCTCTTCACTCATCTTGTTGTCTACCTTTGTGTGCTATTTGGAACGTGGCAACTCGAACTGGTGCAGTTCGGTGCCAAGTTCTATGTTGAATCCAGACAGACGGGGTAGATGGGGTTGTTAGCCAGCTTCATGTCCAACCTTCCCTCTTTACCAGTTTTAATACTGGCTTAAGAGAGGTAAAGGAGTGCGCCAGAGGTGAGGGATCGAACCCCAGGCCACACCCCCGCCAAAGCACAACCATTATAAATGATGAGCTCATATTATCACCGTGGTGAACACACACACACACACGTTTGTTGTTCCTGCTTCATTCTAGGTGATTAGAGATTATAGCAGTAGAAAACAGGATGCACGTTTTTTCATCCTGTCTTAGGACTCGTCAGTTGTGTGTACTTGCAATCACCACCACCACCACCACCCCGTCTAGTGAATAGTGATGGTGTTCTTCTTCTCACTAAAATACTTGAAACCACTAATCTATCGCTTTTCAAACACTAAAGTTATTAACCAATGAATAGGACAGTTGGATTAAACTGATGTAGATAAATGGATTTTCAAGTATTGAGTTTGTAGGGATTTGATTGATTGACTGATTGATTACAGGATTTCATCATGAGCTGACGTCGGTTACAGAACCATTGGAAAACCTTCCAGGAGTACTTGACAGTTGTTCCGTCGGCCTAGTTTGGGACTCCACCAGTACGCACCCACGGGATTTGAACCCAGGACCTTCCAGTTACAAGGTGAGCTAGCTCCTAGACCACTGAGAGTCACTGGGACCTAACCGATCCCGATGGCCAGTCCGTCCATCAATTCCAACTTCTGTCAATTCATGATATAGCGCGACCGCTGCTAGCCAAGTCTTCGGCGAGTATTTCTTCTCACACCCGACCTGCTGTATTCTGCTGGTCACGACGACTTCCCACTAGAACTCCAGGGAACTACCTACCAACCTGAATAAGGCTCACTAGCGACTGGCCCTATCCAAGATGAAATTCTGTAGCCTAATGGTTTTTATCTAACCAGATACATATGAGAATTTTTCTTCTCTCTCTGGTTATTGATTACATAAACTTACATAAGTTAAAGTAATTTGCATGTAAGGAAGAAATGGAATGAAATGCCGGTGTCATACAAAATGAGGGTTGTATGACTGTACATGTATATGTATTTCAACAGTTAGATTACATAAACTAACCACTATAAGTAAGAGAGAAATGCACATCCTAACTATTCACATTTCATAACCGTTAACTGCTTTTATTATTATGTTGACAAGAGATGTGGTATGCAGTGAGATTCAAATGTATATTCTCTATTTTGAAACCAAAGCTTTTATATAATGACTCTATATTGACGACGTCACCACATCACTCCAGTACCGGTGGTGGCATACTGAGTGAGGACATTTATTAGCGGTGTAAAAAACTTGTAGTATACATTTTTTGGGGACTGTGGGGTATCTACCATGTCATTTAGCTGCTCTTAGTACACAAATCTCTACCACACAAGTTCTATTCATTGCTTTCACGCGGCTGCCACGGTCCTCATGAGAGTGAAAGGATGAATGAAAACATCTGGTGCTTACAACCGAACTGGTGGACATGAACGTTTGCAGTAGTAACTAAGGGAGCTCTGAAGAAGCCTCATTTCGTTTCTGAGATTCAAACCGGGGTCACGACCCAGTGTGCTGAAGTCAGAGTCGTTGACCCTAACTTAGTGATAGGGAGTGAAGTGATAGACATGTTGACCACTTCACCTACTTGGGAAGTTGTATTAGCACCAACGGACTGATTGGCGATGAAATCTCAGCACGGGTCCGAAAAGCTCGAGCTGCTTTCGCTGACTTACACCATCTCTGGCGTAGGCGTGACATCGGTTATCAACCAAGGGACGTGTGTACTGCTCATCAGTTCGCTCCGTCCTTCTCTATGGCTCTGAAACATGGCCATACGCGTTGAAGACATGAAAAGGTGATGCTTTCGATCATAGATGTCTGCGATCTCTGTCTCACGTTAGGTGGTTTCACAAGATAAGTAATGTTGACGTTAGGCGTAGAGTGTTGGGCAAAGAGGAAAATCAATCGACGAGGTTATAAAGTTACATAGACTAAGATGGCTAGGTCACGTGGTGCGCAGCCTAACCGCCTCCCCGAGGCATTGCTAGCTGATATAGATAGGTGCAGGTTGGAAAAGAGCCAGTGGTGGCCAAACAAAAACATGGTCAATCCATGAAATCCTTGACAGTTAAATGAGTCAGGTAGGGAGATGCAGACTCCCGGGTTGGGGCCCTCGGGACTCTAGGAATCAATGGCTGGAGACAATAGGTGACATGGCTCAAAATCGTTGTCAATGGCGCAGATGTATTCAATCTCTGTAATCTTTCATATTCCTTTCTACCATTACCCATTCTGTTTCACTTTATACTTGTCAGACTGTATTGATTCTCTTCACTCATTTCTTGTCTACCTCTGTGTGCTATTTGGAACGTGGCAACTCGAACTGGTGCACTTCGGTGCCAAGTTCTATGTTGAATCCAGACAGTCGTTGACCACTATCACTGAGCTATTTAGGGCTTACGACTGACCTTCTATGGAACTGTATTGGACACTAGACAGTAACTAGAGAAAAAGAACGATTATATGGAGAGTAATTGGAATTTAATAGACCCCAGATATCACAAATAGTGAATGCATCAGCAACATTGAGAACGATTTTCGGCCGTGACACTGAAAGTCTCTAGTAGTTGTGTGTCTTAGAGTCTCACTCAAATCAGCAGTCACAGACTGATGATACGTTGTTTCCGTTTGAGTATCCCCCCCTGGCGTTATTTCAATCCAATCACATGTTAGCTAACACACACACACACACACACTGCTTCACAAGGAAAGCGACAGCTTGGTGTAGGTAACACCACATATCAGTAAAATACGAGAGTTTTTAGTCATTTCTGAGGGAAGTTATGTCTGTGCACGGTAACTATCAGGGGATCGATCAGTCAAAACTGACTAGTTTCACACTTTAAGTTGAATCGCCCTATGTATACTGATATGTTGAACACAATCGGACTAATAGATTATATACATATATCCACAGAAATAAAAAATTGACTTTCTTTACCTGAAATGAAAATCCCGGTGGAAGTCCAGACATTTGTGCTAGTTGTGCCAATTGTGCTAACTGGCCTGGTGGTATACCAGGTATCGTAGGGCCTGAAAACATTGGAGAATCATTATTATTAGATGATTGATTGTTGGACAACTGTGATGATGATGATGATTGATGCATACGATTATTAGTTGCTGGAGTAGGTGTACGATTACTAAGTGAACGAGATTCTGAATGAGAATGATGCAGAGGAGAGAGTAAACGATTCGACGATGCCGATGACGACGACTGAGATGGTCCAGATGACTGGGGAATACTCGCTGACATATGACTATTTTGACGTCGTCTTTCTTTGTGTGTACCTTGATTCATAAAGTTGGGCATTCCAGATGTAGTAGAATTGTTGTTGATGTTACAGTCTGAATTACTACCAGCGAATTGTCCCGCAGGAGAACGTAGTCTAACATGAGAGGCTGGAGCATTCATATTTCTTTGTGACAAGCTATCTTGAATTGCAGAAGGATGCTGTTGTGGTTGTTGCTGCTGCTGTGCCGGGAGACTGCTTCGTGGCAGTGAACTCTTTTTATCTGTGATGCCATTTCAGCAAATGCTGCAGCAGCTAAACTTGCAAATTGTAAGGCTTTATTTGGATCAGATTGAATATTAGCTATAGAACAAAAAAGAAAGAATCGAAAAGCATTAAATTATGTTAAGCAGGTTGAGCTGTTAAGTTAAACATTCAACAGTACGACCAAAGGGTGGGTGTGCTACACATCAGTCCACTCCGTCCTCCTTTTATGGCTGACTGTGATACCTGGCTATTGAGAGTGGAAGACATGAAAAGTCAGGTTAGCTGTCTTTGATCATAGGTGCCTGTGCTCTGTCTTCTGTGTGTAGTGGTATAACAGGGTGAGAAATACTGAGGTTAGGCGTCGGTCGAGTGCTAGGTAGGTGGAAGGGGAAATCAATCGACGAGGCTGTGAATTCACAGCGATTGAGAGAGGTGGTTAGGACATGTGTTACGTATGCATGCCTAGTCATCGCCTTCCTCGACAATGGGCAATGTTAGTTGACATAGCGTCAGGCTAGAAAAGAGCTAACGGCAGTCAAGTCAAAATATGGCTTCATCAGTCAATGAAATCCACAACAGTTAGTTTAAGCCAGTCGGATAGGAAGGTGTAAACTTTCAGACTGGTTGAGGTCCTCGGGACGGTAAAAATCAATGATTGGAAACAATTGGTGATATGGCTCAAACTCATCGTTCTCAGTGATGGTGCAGATGCATCCACTCCTTGTGACTTATAATTTCCAATGAAACTATTATTGGTCTTCGTTATTACTATTCCTTTTGTCTCACACACCTCTGTTTCCTGTCTCTATTTTGCATTTCTTTTTTTGCTTTCTTCTCTTGCTTTATGTGTTACACAAAGAGAGGGTTATTGTCGCAGGTGCTCAACTACTAATCACTGGTGTTACAACACAGTTATGCATCCAGTTATATCCATGAAGCGCCAAGAATTTTGATATGTATAAAACAAACTTGGCTTCAACTCACAGTTGTTAAGTGCTGTTTGTAGTGCAAATAAATCGATATTTACATAGACAAAAGATGCATAATTGTGGTAAGAGTCAATTACACAATGTAATAATACACATTCAGCCTCCAGGGTAAAATATATACATTCAAGCTTAGGCAATACAAAATACACACACACACACACAAATCAATGATGTATGGTAATGAAAAGAACATTTATCACTTTGATTGGACACTAGTAACTAGTGTGATATGTCTAGTCTTTCTTCGGGACAGACCGAATTCTATCAGTCAGGTTTACAATGTGGCCACCATTCCATTCTAAGTAGCTCGCCATCACGGTGAACTTTGAATTGTTGATGTTAGATAGTTGGAAGCAATTGGCCACAGGAAGCCTTGCTTGACCTCAGTTTCATGCTAGTTGGCACTCGCCGATTACCTCCAACCATCTAACTAACATCAACAATTCAAAGTTCACTGTGATGGTGAGCTACCTAGAATGAGTGGTGGCCACATTGTAAACCTGACTGATAGAATTCAATTCAGTCTGCACCAAAGACAGAAGTAGACATATCATACTAGTTACGAAGTATCTATTACAGTCAGTCCTATTGGAGGTTAATCGCGAGCCCAAAAAGCTCAGTGGTAACGTCTCTGACTGCAACACACAAGGTGACGTGGGTTTAAGAATCTCAGGAAGTACATGAGTTCCTTCAAGGTGATTGCAGATACGCCTTCCTGACTAGTGAGAGTGCCAACTAGCACGGAACCTAGGTCAAGCAAGGCTTCCTGTGGCCGATCGCATCAAACCACCAAACATCAAGAGAACATTAATCAACTGGAAGACAACTTTATCTATATTACTGACTCCAGAATACTATGCATCGCATTATAAGTCAATTTAAAATAGTTTTATTTCACATGGTACATAATTAGATACAGTGTTATTTATTTTATTTTTAATTACAGCTTGATTCCACACTGTATTTTTGGTAGAAGTATGGAATTCTCAGAATGGATATCATCGGTAGCCCAAATTTCGCAGACCGACCATAGATATCAGGTGTGCGCCGGCAGGGGATCGAACCTCGGACCATATGCATGGCCGACGAGAGTCCTAACCACTGACACGCGAACATAGCTATAACTATGAGCTATAAAATGTACTCAAAATGTCATAATTGAACAAATCATATTGTCAAGATTGATCAGAAATCGACTTCATTTAAAGAATAAGCAGCAGGGGGTGATGTTTCATCTTAATGTCGAACTCTTCACAGTATGCACCCATGACCCTATCGGGGATCGAAATAAAAGCATCACCTTTCAGGTTACGAAGCCAATCGAGCGGAATCTAATCGCCCATGAATCCTAACTTCCACAAGTCAGCAATATATAGCACGACAGTCAGCCGAAGTCATCAGTAAGTATTTGTTCTCTCTCTCCCACACACACACTTGATGGTGTATCATGGGCTGGGCATCACAGAGGTGTTCAGGACAACAGGGACGAAACAGCTGTTTTTCTAACGAAAATCAGTTCGTCATCAATCTTGAAGTCAATCAAATCGTTGCCACAATGCTCAGATTCAATTCCTACATCAAAGACTTCTCGATGGGTAGATAGATAAATAGATAGACAGACACGAAGTGATTACAAATTAATAAATGTAATTTTACTTCATTTAGATTAAGAGATGGGGTTCTACAGTGAATGTAAATATGCACAGACAAGCACATAAACACACACACACACACACACTCACCTGCCATCATAGCTAATTTCGCTGCATTGAATACTTGTTCTTGTAAATTTGACGACGACGACGATGAGGCTGATGGTTGTGGTGGTTGGATCGTTGGATTACGTGATGCTGCCCGTCCACTATTACTACCACCACTACTACTACCACCATGAGTAATAGGTGAAGTGAAAGGCATATGCGGTGAGGCACGTGTATGCCCAACATTGAATGGTGATAACAATGGTGTAGCAGGATTAATCGATGATAAATTATTTAGATTCATAGACATGTCACGGGAAGAAGAAGAAGAGTTATGGTGTGCAATCGGCGGTGTTTTCCTGCTAAGATTATGAATATCCTGATGATGTTGATGCTGATTTTGAGGAAAACGATTAGTTGGCCCCGAAGAGAATTGAATTGATGCTGATGATGATTGTGGATAACGTGGATTATGTGACAACTGGACAGAAGCAGTCGGTCGAGTAGAAATACTATTCACTGCAGATGTCATTGCACCACCATTATTTCCATCAGAATGTGATAAACAACTACCGATTAGCATTGATGTTGGTGTTGCCGGTGGTAAAGGTCGCGATGGTGGTGGTAGTGGGGGTTGTAACTGTAAAGAAGAATTTTGATGTGGATAAATCGATGATGGAGGGATACCACCACCACCACCAATACCACCTTCAAGTCGTGCAGCCATTTCAGCTGAAAATGCAGCAGCTAATATCTCTTGTTGTTGTTGTAGTTGCTGTTGTTGGTAGAGCTGAAATTGTTCTACAGGTGTCATTGTACGTTGTTGTTGCTGCTGTTGTTGTTGTTGGCTATTAGTAGCATTTCGTAAATATTCAAGACGTTCAGACATTAATCGCTGGAAGGCATCGATTTCACGCTGTTCTACTGACGCAGCGGCAGCAGCAGCAGAAGACAAAGACGCCATACGGTCAGAAGGGAGTGAAGTAGCTAAACAAAAATAAATTATTTCAACAATGTGTAAATATAAAAGTGGTCTATTTTAAAGAAGTTATTATGCAAAAATAATTTTTAATGGGTAAACGAAAATGAATATACCCCAACCACCTCCTACTAAGAGTGCGTCGGTGGCAACAGCGGTTAGGACGCACATCGACTATACATATGGTCCGGAGTTCGATCCCTGACACTGGACGTAATCCTTTACCTCGGTATGCCAGTAAGATTGGTAAAGGGGGAACGTTGAGCATGAGGCTAGCAACCTCATCCTGTAAAAATAAACACCACTGCTACAGAGACTTCAAGCCTCTAGCTCGAAGCCCCCTGTGTTCCACTGGGAACGTGAAGGAATAAAAAAAGCCACCTACTAATCATCTTTGATTACAGATGTTTGCTTTTTATGTCGCATGTTAAGTGGTATAATATATACTGGGTAATAATGAGGTTCGGAGCAGAGTGTTAGAGTCAGGTAAGCAGAGAAGAGTGGGGGGGGGTCAATCGACGTGATAGATAAGTTACATCCATTGAGATAACTATGTCAAGTCTTAAACACGACAAGCCACTACTACTACATTCCTCGACGCATAATGTTAGCTGGCATAAGATTAGATTAGAAAACTGTGTGACTAAATTGATATGGTTATGAGCAGCAATAAATTTGTGCTTAAAACGTTATCTAGGCCTCGGAATGTTGACATCCCCATAGCTGGAGACTACTGATGAAATGATGTAGAGATGTTCAGATCGATTAAATCCTCATATTTCCTCACGCTTGATAGGAATCAGCTTAAAATAATAATCACTGTCGTACGATTCATTAAGTGATTGGATGACTGTAAAGTAGTATCTTTCTTTTTACCTCAGTCTCTATCGAATCGCCAATCAATCAGAATATCGATTTTTCGCGAACCTAGCCGAATGTGCCCTGGTGGCACAGAGGTAGAATGTTCGCCGACCACACCGCATGTGGTTCGGGGTTCCATCCCCGGCCACTGGATGCACTCCTTTACCTCGCTAAACCAGTAATAAGACTGGTAAAGAGAGAAGAAGGTTGGGCATGAAGCTGGCTAGCAACCCCATCCATCCTATGAAAAAATAAATACCACTGCTATTCAAGTGTTAGTTTGTAGGGATTTGACCGGTTTCAGGATTTCATCATGAGCTGACATTAGTTAGAGAATCATTGGAAAACCTGGGAGTACTGGACAGCTGTTTCGTCCAAGTTTGGGACTCTTCAGCAGTACGCACCCACCGGGATTCGAACCCAGGTCAGCTCATGATGAAATCCTGAAACCAATCAAATCCCTACAAACCAACACTTGAATACCAATGAGATGCTCACTGGCGACTGACCCTATTCAGGTAGGTAGTTACCTGGGTTCCAGTGGGAAGTCGTGACTTCTGATGTTCTTAAATGTTTGAAATCTCTTAAACCTCCCCAGAGTCTAGGCCCTGATGGTATACCTGCCATTGTTTTAAAGAAAGCATTCTCAATACTTCTTTTTCTAATAATAATGTACCTTCTCTGTGGAAAGATATTAAAATCATCCCTGTACCCAAGTCTGGTTCTGGAGATAGTGTTAAGTTTAGACCAATTGCCATTACCTCTCCTTTCTTGAAACTGATGGAGAAATTACTCTTACAAAAACTCATTCCCTCCCTAAGCTTCTCAAATGATCCAAAGCAGTTTGCTTACAAACAGGGTAGAAGTACTTTGGATGCTGCTGCTGTGTTTCATCACAACATTGTATCCTCCTTAGACAAAGGGGCCAAGTATGTCCGTTGTACTTTCCTTGATTACACATCTGCTTTTGACTCTGTACCTAGAGGCCTTTTGTTAAACAAGCTTAGCCTTACACAAACTGAGTCCTGGGCTATCAACTGGCTGCACTCTTACTTCTCCAATAGGATGCAGTACACGGTATATAATGGTGTAGCTTCCTCTCCTTTGCTTACTGAAGCTGGTGTTCCTCAGGGTGCTGTTCTCTCGCCGTTTCTCTTTTCCTTCTTCTTACATGACTTACCTCTCTCAGACGAAATCAACTTCGTCAAATATGCAGATGACCTGACTGTTTCGCTTCCCGTTAAGTCTCAGTCAGACTGCTTCAAATTAAATAGCTTCCTGTCGGACATCAGTCAGTGGTCTAAAATAAATGGCCTAACGCTGAATCCCTCAAAATGCCAGACTGTCGACTTCTCCTTTAGGCATAAACGAGATCTACAAACACTAGTAAGCACTCATGATGTCTGTAGAATCGAGGGGACTATAATTGAAACAAAGTCTAATGCAAAATACCTCGGATTAGTTATATCTTCCGACCTTACTTGGTCATCTCATATCCAAATGATTTCCAAGAAAGTGTTTCGTCTAACCTACTACATTAAGAAACTCAGACTAACTGGAGTCCCTCAACCTCTGCTTACACAATTTGTCAACTCTCGTATCCTACCTATTCTACTTTACTGTTCCCCGTTAGTCTTTCCTGGGTTACTGAAAAAGGATTATACCATCCTGAGAAGGATGTTGAAGGTAGTTAGCAGGACTAGCGGTGTAAAACTCAGTCAGCTCGTCACAACATTAGTGGATAAGCATCTGAATACATGTGAGAAATGGTCTAAAACCATACTCTCTGACCCCCAACACCCCCTCTATTCCCAACTCTCTCCCTGCATCTCATCAGGTAGAACCAGAAATCAGTATAAAATAATATATGCTCGCACAACCAAGTATAGGAACTCAACGATACCATATTTGGCCCGTGTTCTAAGTGACAGAGACAATGTTAGGCGTGAAACCTATGACTTGCTTTGTTGTTAATAACATAATTTTGGCCCTTGTTTTTTTCCCCCTTACACTCTCTTATTTGTACTCTATAGTGAACAACCTTCTTAAACATACTTAGCTGCTTAAAATTATTATCATTGGCTTACATTTTTATTCTTTATTCTATTCCTTCTTTGTACATCTACTGGGTCCGACTATATTATCACTATGATTATTAAAAATTGTCCCGTCATTAACCATCATGTAACATTAGTTTTGTGGTTGTTCTTTGTTCGGCACTATTTAACTGACAATCTTGTTTGTTATTGCCACTATCACCATCTTAAAAATTTTGTATTATGCATGATTCCTCACACTGCCACTACAAACAACCGCATTAGTACTGACAAAAAAAAACACCTGAAATGTTTATCTTATGATTGCTTAGTGTTGTTCAATCAAATTAACTGATCATCTTGGCTATAAACATTTTTTTAAGAACATCTCATAATTTCCCGTATGATTATAGCTGTTACTGTTCACCACGCATACACATATCGTAGCTTCCACTAACTAATACTGAAATATTTTTTTTCATTATTTGTGTTGATCTTCTTTTTTTACTCAGTATTTTTATTTGCATTTTTTTTGGTTATTTCTGTTTCTTTTTTTGGTTTTTTTTATATTTTATTTTTTTTATAATACTCCTTTTAAATGTACGATGAAATTAGATGCAATATTGTAGATATGTGCTGAAAATTCCACACTGTACCACAAGTACTGTTTCTGGAATAAAGCGAAATTGTTATGACCAGTAGGGTGCAGCTGGTCGGGTGTGAGGACAAATACTCGCCGAAGACATTGGCCAGGGGTTGCGCTATGTCGTGAATTGGCAGAGGTTAGAATTCATGGGCCATTGGATCGGGTCCCAGTGGCTCAATGGTATACGAGCTCGCCTTGTAACCAGAAGGTCCTGGGTTCGAGTCCCGGTAGGTTCGTACTGATGAAGAGTCCCAAACTAGGACGAGACAGCTGTTCAGTACTACCAGGTTTTCCAATGATTCTCCAACTAGTGTCAGCTCATGATGAAATCCTGAAATACCACTGCTACCGAAACTTCAAAGCTCTAGCTTGAAGCCCCCTATGTTCCTAGCCGAATCGCCTACCAATTACAACAATCAATTTTCCACTGTCCTAGGCAGATCTTAATGTGGTTAAAAGTATATAAATAAATATAGCGTGCTTTCCCCTAATAAAAATTGTATCCTAACAGTCACAGGTGCTGCCAGTTTTTGTTTTTTGGCTCAATGAAGCGGAAGGCACAACGGACGAATAGATCTTCTATCTAGCATGTTAACTGAGTTATCCATCATGTCAGTATTACTTATACCAAGACACACGGCCAAGTTCACTCGATCATATCAACTATCGATGCGATCATCATGTCAATATTAACGACAGATAGATATATAATAATGTTACTATTCTTTCTCCTACCATACATTTTGCACTCATTATAGTTATCTTGGTTCTTCTTCCCCACTTTTGTCTACCTTTGTTATATGTTGCGTGGAGTGGTGTATTTCTATGTAAAGTTCTATGCTGAAACTAAGTCGGATGACTGTCAGTCAGTCAATCAATCAACCACTATCCACATCACCATGCTCACTCATGATTTTACAACAAATCTCAAAGAACCTAGAGTTTTATCAAATTGAAGACAGCATTTTAGTTTTGTGTATGTATGAATTATAATTGTACACACACACACACACACACATTATAATTACAGCTGACGAGAACTGATAAGATAAGTAAGCTCAAATTTTGTGGTGATTCTATTCCACACTGTATTTCGCTTAATAACGATGAAAAATGAAAATAAGGGATAGAAAATACACCTGAAGAATTTTGAACATTGGGGACATAAGTAGGAAACTAGTTGGAATAAAAGTAATGATTCATCTAGGGCATTGATAAAAAGTTACTGCAATTGGGCTCAATATTTTATTAAAATTGTTGGTTGTAGAGGTAGAAAATTCTGTTATTATTTGGAGGATACGGTGATTTTGATTGGCCAATCTCCAAATTCATACAGCCAATCAGATTGACGACGTATATTTGTATGATAAAGTCATTATCCTAACAGTCCACAGGTCATGTCTTTGTATATTGACATTTTCGTGACTAGTATGTGGGGCAGAATGATCTATTGTGTTTAACACAAATGTTAAGTCTGTAAGTTCTTCTCCACATGGATTGGAAAAATGGTGATAGCATCATCACGATAAACATTTCCGACGGGTTAATGCAGACTATCATCATCAAAAGCTGTCTTCGCTGGCTCCATACTATTCCTTCAAATATATATTCCGGAGAAGATAGAAATGGATCGAAAACACTCTGAATAGACTGTTGGGTAAAACATCAATCAAGTGTCAGGTCAACCACTGGTGGAACCTGAATGGGGTGTCACTTCAAGGGTGGATATGAAGGAGATAGTAAAAGGACGAGATGTGCTCTTGAAGCCAAATGGAGCAATAATGGTAATATTAAGTGCATCCCGTAGAGTTATACCCACTCAGTCATATCAGAGACCCATACCATTTACCGTTAATGATGTATGTGCTTGAACTGGATTCAACCAGTCATAGTTCACCAGCTCTAACTCTATAGTACTCAGTATAGTATACTTTTTTTCCCTTCACATTCCCAGTGGAACATAGGACGCCTTCAGGCTAGAGGCTTGAAGTTTCTGTAGCAGTGTTTATTTATTTTTACAGGATGGGGTTGCTAGCTAGCCTCATGCCCACCCAACCTTTCCTCTTTACCAGCTCTATTTCTGGCTTAGCGAGGCAAACGAGTGCGTCCAGTTGACGGGGATCGAACCCCGGACCATGTACATAGTCGGCGAGAGTCCTAATCGGTGTGCCACCGACGCACCATACTACTGGAACCCAGTAGGTAGTAGTTACTGGCTAGATAGATATGATTGAAACACCAATTAGTCGTTTCGCTCTTTCCGTGACGATCTTATCAGTGGCATACCTATACAGCCGAATCATTAATCCAAACAACTTAGGCGACCTGCTAATATACACAGAATGCAAATGTGACGAATTCAATTCCATTCCTGACTATGACTAGTATTCAACTATTAAACATGTAGTGTAAATTTAGTAATACTACAACCCATTAATATCTCCATACAATTGGTGATGGAGCCACATTATCCTCTGTGTGAGGATCGTGGCAACTCGAACTGCTGCACTTCGGTGCCAAGTTCTATGTTGAATCCAGACAGACAGACAGACAGACTGTGTGAGGATTAGTGGTTGGGTGCGCGACGGGATTCAAACCTGAGTGTATCTAGGCTAATCAGCCATATATCTCTATCAATCATCAATAGGTACGTATGTGACAGGGATCGGCACTGGCGTATTCATTTCATCATTGCTGCAACTTTATGACGTATTCATTTGTACACCACCAGGAAAAAAGAACGTCTTCTGCAGCAGTTGTATACATACACAATCCATTTGCCATATATATAATACATACAAATATAGAGAATTCAGACAGATAAGTTTGATCAAAACACACATATGGACACACCAAAATTAAGAGGGAATGCTATGAAAGCAAAAATCAATAACAGCCACACACACACACTGCCAAATTGAAGTAAATGTGGAAAATCAATCCACTTACGTGGCAGTAATCCCATTAAAGCCAACTGACGTTGTAAAAGTTCTGGATGACTATAGAACGGAGATCCTGGTGGTATAAACGGATTAGATGATGAACAACCCACTGTAGGGAGAAAGCAAAACGAGAGAAAAGAATATCCAATAAGTAAACACATTTCAGTAGTATGTACAGAGAAGGCAGAAATTTATTTAACAATTTTATCGATAATGAGATTATCTGAGATAGTGGCTTGGGTGATGATAACTACAGATGAAGTGAAAGTCTAGTCTGATGATGGATTTGGGTATCAGCGGTGTTGAAAACACTATACCCCCACCCAGCTGAGCAACTAGATCCATTTCACTGAGACCATATTCACGACTAATGCCTAACACTTTCCAACAATATGTGCAGCAAATGTGTTCGTTCTTCTTTTTTTTTGTTCAAACTAATAAAGACAACTGGTTCCACATCATGACATCCTTGAAATGACATCTACCCCTACAAATCAATCATGTCACTGAATCAAGTAGTGAAGTTATGTTGCGGCATGGTGAGAGAAATTGCCAGCATCAAAATCCTATGAGGAGTGTTTCGAAACAGTCGACTTTCCATGTCAGTTCCTAAGACTTATCAGATCGACCAAGCTGTGCCTCGAAATCAAAAGAGAATACACACACATTGTATCACTAAATCATATATTGATCTATTTCAGAAACCTATTACACCACCTTGAGGTCAAATCTAGTCAGATTCGACAGTCTACTACTGGGAAGTCTGAATTTGGTGTATTGTGTAGAGTTTATAAACTTCAAGCAAGACTCACAGCTGTAAACTACGAATTCATGTGAAAAGAAACTCCGAAAATCTTTAGTAGTGAAGAAACTACATGTTTAATCTTTCTCTGTTCAAATTAATAAATGGGAAAACCGTTGTATGACATTAATATTATTCCGTTTCATTTGAAATCAAAACTTTCAGTCTTCAAAAGCCCATCCTATTGACTCCTACTGTGGTGAGAGCTGGCTGCAAGCCAAAATTTGTAGACAGTAATTTACGCCAATGTTGCATCCCGAATCGGGGTCATGAAAAAAACAATAACAAGGCTTTTAACGTTGAGAAACTCACCAACCAATGAGACAGCAGACTTAATGTGTGTAAATACGATTCGCAGATATAATGTCTTAACTTTCTGAAAAAACGGTCACAAACAATAGAGAATAACCTTGAGCAAGAAAACAACCAATCAGAAGACGTTGCTTCTCCGCTGACAATAATCTACATGAAAATCTATTAATACCTCTTGATTTTCTGAATAAAGGGTCTGTTGACTGGCCCTTGTCTTCTGTCGTTAAACTACTAGTCAGATCGACAATCCGTAAACAATGTGAAAAAACTGACTTGTTGATTCGGTAGACATGAAAACAAATCGTTTAAAATGTCATTTGCCCAACAGCGCATAACAAACTATAAAATAATGTCATGTAATCAGGGATTACCATCCATCCATCACCTTGATGTGTTTGTTGGTCGAACTTGCATATTGCAGTGACCTAACGAGTTATACTGGCTGAGATGAGTAATCCTGCTAGACACGCCTCTGACTTGGACAGCAGTTCGACTAAAATCAGTTACCAGTTACACTATGTTAGGGTTTTGTGGGCGATTAGGGATGTAACAGCAGTAGGGTGGTTTCCCTCAGAAGACAAGTAGTAAGTCAGCTATGCTGGTCTTTACATTATGGACAGAAGGGGCAGAGTTCCGTAGCAGGCAGACTCCGTCAACACAATCACTCCCTCAGGTTATCATGCAATGCGATAGGTTAAGTAATCGGAACACGTTGTGTGGGGTGGGGGAAGATGATAACAACTGTCAGCTCAGATTTTAGTTTAAAATTATAAACAAATTAAGCAGAACTTTCTATTACCAATTAAAACAAAAAATTGAGATAAACAGTCACTCACATCCATTATATCCGCCACCACTAGTTATACTAGGATTCAATCCAAGCATTGAGGGCGTCGAAGAAGACGAACCACCAGCTGACATAGACATATGAGCTGAAAGATTACCACCAGCACCACTGCCGCCGCCGCTTGGCTGACATTGTGAATCTGTTAGACTAAAGTTAAACGGTGTACTCACCATCGATCGGTTCATACCATGTGTACTGGTATTGTTATTATTATGGTTACTATTATTATTACTACTGTTATTGTTATGATGCATAGGGAATAGTGAAGGAGCAGAGTCAGAGGCAGTTGTCGACGTGCCAGTAGCTGACGATGATGATGATGAGATAGAAGAAATAGGTGGATAAAATGTTCCAGTTGCTGCTGCAATTCTTGTTGACATTAAAGAACTCATACTACTACCACTATTACTATTATTATTACAATTATTATTGTTATTCGGATTGATGAAGCGTAGATTTGGAGAAGAGACAACAGGCATCTGTTTTGTAGGATTATTATTAGTATTACTATTATTACTACCAGTAGTAGTAGCAGCAGTGGTATTCATTTCAAAGTTTGGAGGGAAAAACTTCATACCATCACGTGATGGACTGTTGTGTTGATAATGACCAGCAGCAGCTGCGGCGAATAACAAAGCTTGTTCATACATTGTTTGCAATTGTTGTTGACTGGGTATATTATTATTATTACTACTACTACTGCCGATAGGCGATTTAATGCCTGACCCACTTTGTTGCTGTTGTTGTTGCATGAGTATTTGTTGTTGTAATTGAGGCGGTAATAATGGAAATGATGGAATCTGTGAGATAGGTGTCATCGTCATAGAAGGCATACTCCCAGTTTGACCTGTTGGTGTTAATATGCTGTTGTTATTATTATTATTAGAATGTGGATAGATCATATTACCAGGATCATTTTGATGATATGATGATCTACATGTTTTTACTGCAGGTTGATCATACGATGATGATGACGACTGGATAGAGGATCGTTTCGAGTTACGAGCACACAGATCAAGAGCAGTAGATGATGTATCCTGAACAGATGATGATAATGATGAAGATGACGGTGTATGCGCAAATGACGTATTTCCAGCATAATATGCCTAAAAGAAGACAACAATTAGACTTTTGAGGGAAACAAAAAGTGTCATATCAATTTCGGGAATATATACACATCTGATCAAATCTCTCAAAGGCAGTGAAATCAAGGCATATGGATCAGGTCCCAGTGGCCTAATGGTCTACGGGCTCGCCTTGTAACCAGAAGGTCCTGGTTATATATATATATATATATATATATATATATATATATATATATATATATATATATATATATATATATATATATATATATATATGGCTGATGCAATAGCGATTCAAAAGAAATATACGCATTTTCACAGCTCCGTTCCTACCAAGTACAAAAGAAACTTATTGAAGACCCTCAACCACAGAGTTAGAGCTATATACTCAGAAGAAGTAACTGAAGATAAATTAGGCGAGTTGGTCTTCCAAGGGTGACTTAGAGGAGGTCATGTGAAGAGGAGACAAAAGCATGTAGACAGACTTGGCGCTGGATGAAAAAGTTGGCAGATAACCGAACGCAATGGAGACGCGCGGCTGAAGCCCTATGTTCCTCTAGGAATTAAGGGATACAATAGTAATAATAATAATAGGCATTGTATATGATACTTTGATCGAAAATAGCTATCCCGAAAAATTTATCAAGAAACACATGACGAAGAAGGTGGAAAAGGACTACTCACTATCTGTAAACAAGAAGCCACTTCATGTACGACTACAATTCATGGGCGATATACCAAGCGAGATAATTACGAAGAAATTAAGAAAATCAGTTCAAAGAACTTTTAATGCTGGCGAACTACAAGTATTATTTTCTACACAACCGATGGTGCAACCTCGACTGAAAGATGAAGTACCTAGACTAGCTGGCCACTTCAAATTGTATCTATCAATTCAACTGCGCTTGTAATGGAGCGAGTTATATTGGCCGTTGTTCTAGGAATTTGATTTTTCGTTCTCGAGAACATCTCCCACTATGGCTAAGTAAAGGTGTAGTGAAAACACCATTAACAGTTCGATATTGGACCACCTGGTGCGAACCGGTCACAAAGGCAGTGTTGAAGAATCCCTCTCTATCATCTACTGATTGCCTAATAAATTGCCAAAAGTATCCAGGTACCGCATATTCCAAACAGCAGAGGCTATTGCAATTCGCCTCGAACGACCAGTGCTCTGTGTTCAAAGGAAGCAAGTTCAGCCAGTCACTACTACTGCCCTGGCTGGCCTTCAGTAGAGACTATAAACTCATGAATTTGTAATATTATCTTTCCTAATTTTTCTGACATTCAGCTTATTTTATGTTGATGCCATTGAACTGTAATCTGTTGATATTATTGATTCGATGTTATTTAAACAACATTAATGTTGTTCGTAACACTAATTCATTCATTCACTATAATGTATATATAACTGTAGAGCCTGATGATGAATGGTTTATCGAAAAGAGTACTTTTTGTTCAGTATCCATTCATTTGAAAAATACGTCCAAACCCATTTTGTTATTACTACGTTCATAATCCCTAATTCCACACAAAAAAAAACCAAGTTTCTCGTGCGTCGGTGGCACAGCGATATGGACTCTCGCCTACCATGCACATAGTCCTAGGTTCGAGATCCCCTGCCGACGCACACCTGATATCTATGGTCGGCCTGTGAAATTTGGGCTACCGATATCCATGCTGAAAATTCCATACTTGTACCAAAAATACAATGTGGAGGAATCAAGCTGTGTAATCATAAAAAAAAATAATTATAATCCTACTATAAAATAAAGGTTTTTTTTGTATTTCCCAGTGAATGAATGAAAAAGGGCGAAACTACACTGTCGTTGTTTTGTATTGACGTTTCGCTATTCACATTAATGCTGCTGCTAATAGCTTTATCAAAGTAGTATTGTTTGAACCAGAATTTATAAAATCCACTCAGCTTATATATCAACGATCCTGGTTACAACACACTCCTCCCCCCATGAAATGGACAAAATCACACGAATGTGTGATAAGCAATTTCATTAGGTGAACACATACTACTTTTATAATTTTACACTCTTATCAAATCCAACAACCATCTACACTTGGTTATATCATCTTTACCAATTGACTGATTTGACAACGCAAAAATAACCCCATGCTGAGGAACGATGTGATTAGGTTGTTACATATAAGCTGAGTGGATTTTGTAAATTCTGGTTCAAACAATACTACTTTGATAAAGCTATTAGCAGCAGCATTAATGTGAATAGCGAAACGTCAATACAAAATAAACCTTTATTATAATGAATATCGCATTTAACCAAACGCCAAAATTTTTTCAAACTGTTAAAAGTGAACTTAGTTTGGACATTTATAATATAATTATTGAATTGAATTTTTGATTTTCCCGTCGATTGATTGGACCGAAGTGCTCGGTCTCAGGTTGACATGTCGGCTTCTTGTGCAGATGCTTCGACGATGTTTGGGTATTTAATTAGCCACCATCCACCAATTGTACACCAATTTATAATATAATCCTACTATGTTTATTTCTTTTTTATTCGATCGTCCTGTAATTCGATTAATTCAACCCTTGACCCGGAAACAGTTCTGGGACTTTTTTCCTCACCCATTTACGATATAATAATATGTACACGAACATACACATATAGTCTAGTGTTGATGACTTTGTTGAAAAGAAAATTTTCTTCACTGCAACCATCTTTTTTATAATTATTCATAACAATCCTAAAAACTAATGTCATCGTGGAAATCGACCTTATATACCAAAACAAAACTGGAAAATAAAGATATCCGTGAATGCACAGAATATATATATATATATAACTTATTGAATGAGATGAGTAGTTCTGTATACTACTCACATTAAATACTAGTGTTTACTAGCCAGTCAGATTGAAGTGGATCTAAATACACCGGACGACTGTTTCGTCCAACTGTGAGACCAAGCTCATCAACTGTACGCTCAGTTTAATTCAGTTAAGAAAGCTGAATCCGTTCAAACTATTCAATTACTGCCTTAATAACTGGGTGAACTGGCAACAGGTTGCAACAATACAATCGCGACTTGCAGTTTGAGAATATGAAATTCATAAACTAATACCAACAGTAATAATTTTTGAAATAAGGAGATAGTATATAGCGCAACCCAGGAAGAATCAAAGTACTTAATATCCGACTGTTATTGTTTTTCTTTCGCCAAAGAATAACGTTAATAATCCTTGCAGCTCGTTATCGAAATGAACACTAATTGCTCGGTTTGTTAGACAATGGAACAACTAAGCCTACCTTAACAGTTTAACGGACGAGGTGGTGATGAATTAAAGTCTAAATATCTATTCACAGAGAATACGTTGGCTCTTGTTTTTTTTTTTATGAACGCTAGTGTGTGCAGTTTCCCTTATTCAATTCGTTTTATTTTACCGTCTGACATAGCCGATTCTCCTTGTTCATTTTCCGATTCAACTGTGAGTTTTTATTCCCTTTACTAGTAAGTTTATATGTGTCAAGCTATGTTAGATTGTAAAATAAAAACAAATACAAGAAGGTAGACTGCACACTAGCGTTTATGAAAACAAAAGCCAACGCATTGTGTTAATAGATATTTAGACTTTAATTCATCATTTCATCTGTTATCTGTCTGAGAAGGGAGGCGGCTTAGTTGTTCACTGTCTAACAAACCAGAGCAATAGAACTAAGTAGTACAACAAAAAAACCAAAATGATGAAATGAAACAGATAGCAGAATGGCTAGTCAGTGTGCGTTAAATAACCTGACTATCCTTATAGAATTCATTAGGATAATCAGGAAAAGTCAAAAGCAAAATTAAAAAAAATAATGGGGAAACTAAAAAATGAAAATATAAACAAGAGAGAATATAAGACATCTGCAGTTTTACTATACTCAATGGGGGAGGCCATCTGAAAGCCTAACTAGGATTCATAATTAAAGCAGGAATTAGGGTGGTATTTTAACCAGAAAACTCCCTTACTCACACTCAGGGTTTAGCTTTGTACACTAAAGGACCCTATTGACCCAATTAGACAAAATAATATGATTTGCAAAATACCCTGCAATGACTGTGAGTTAAAAGTCAACTACACAGGTCAAACTAGTAGATCGGGGGTAGTCAGATTGCCTGTCAGAACATAAGAATTTAGCGAAGGTTAGAATGATTGACCCCACGAAGATAAGTAATTTAGAAAAAAGCTCAGCAGTAATCGCACTGAATGCATTAACACACAATCACACAATAGGGCGAGTTTAATGGAATCTTGGTTCATCGAGTGTACATCCAACACGTGCAATAGCAATGACTCATCACTCATACCGGAAATATAGAAAATACCATTGCCAGTCATCAGATCAAGCGATGAAAAACAATCGAATTATATAAACAAAATTAGAAAGTTGTGTGAGTAGTGCCTTCATAGGATTATGAGCAGTAATAAATTGTAATAAATCTCGTGCCCAAGTGGTCTAGTGGATAACGCTTTGGCGTTTGAAACTATGGGTACTGGGTTCGAGCCTCAGTAGGAACATCATCACTCACTGAGAAATGCAGGTACATCCAGCTGACGAGTCCCAAATAGGACGAAATGCGCATCCTGGATTCCACTGCTAGCCACCATCCACCAATTGTATAGTAATAAATTGTGCTTGAAATGTGGTCATCATTAAATATTACGTATCGTATAACACACCACTGTGTGTGACTTTACCAAAACCAAATAAATTATCCCGACCGACAACTGCTACCTTGACGTGGTGGTCGGGCTTGAATACCACAATGACCCAACAAGCTCAACTGGCTGGGACTCATGTGTTATAGCAGGTCCTACCATATCAGGAAAGTTGTATGGATAGCGGTTAGGCTAAAAGCAGTTACCATGGGCTCCAGAATCCAATCGGATCAAATGACGTATGAACCTATATTGGTCACCGGTAGCCATGGGAATGCAGCTCCTGACGCTGCTCCGCTGCCTTTCGGATTAGACTCCAAGTCAAAGGCTCGGCGGGGGAGGGGTGGTCCCTTAAGAAAACCACCTGCTTCGATCTAGGCGCTTGGGCAGTATCTCAGACCTCACACAAAAAATGAAATGAGTGTGGTGCATCTTTCTTGGTGCCATATTGTACCAAATAAATAAATAACAATGGAATTACACTCTACCACCACCAAAGTGCACAAGTTCTATTCTTATATCAATGAGCTACAAATCTTCGGTTATTATTACGATTATAAGCAGAAATATAAATAAATTGTGCTTGAAATGTGGTCATCAGTATTTAAGTAATAGCGTATCTCACTGTGTGTGTGTGTGTGAAAATCTTATCAAATAAATTTATTCTAGACTGGAATCATACTGTAAGACAATTGCCAAGTTCTGTTATTATTATTATTGCTATTACGTCAATGAATTGAATACATGTATAATAATACCACTAAACATAATACTTCTTAAATAATGTGTTCACACAGAATATCCATCCAATGTAGCAAATTAACATTCATGTCTGGAAATATAAAATTATTTAAGATAAATAAGAATAATACGCCCAGGATAGACAGACCGTAAAACAATTAGCTTGTATCAAATAAAATGGTGTTATATACGATTATTATTCACCAGGATAAACCATAAAAAAACCCCAAAAAGTTTGAGTGCTAATCATACCATACTTATCTGTAATAATTTCACACACTAATCGATTTATTTGTTTAAACGCTGAAAAAAAAACTTGGTACAATATGGTACCAATAAAGATGCGCCACACAATAATAATAAAATGACATAGATCAAAAGTAGAAAATATGTGTAGAGAACGGATAAAGAACTTCATCTGGAAGGAAAACAGTCATTCTTAACAAGTTCAAACAGTATTCGTCAACTATCATCGGAAGAGGAAGAAAGAAGAAAATTGCAACACGTTTGCCATTGATTACTATTCTTGGCCATATCCGATAACATTTCGAGCCATTGATTCATGTTATCTCGCGGACCCCAACCAGGGAGTCGTGACACACCAACCGATGCTAATCTAGCACGAACATCCTTCGTCCCACGACGTCACGTTATGGACTGACCACCCCTCCGCCTTTTCCATCTCGTCCCAGGGCTGGCGAACAGAGACCTGTACGGAAGCCTGTGGGATGACATTCGCAGCACATGTCCAAACCACCGGAGCCGGTGTTTCCAGATGACGACACTCAATGAATGGTGATCTCCACTGTGTTCAAACACAAGCCGCTGAACCTTAGAATTACTCACGCGATGATGCCATCGAACGTAAGTAATCCTGCGGAGACAGCGATGATCGAACACGCAGAGTCGCCGCCGCACATCCTCATCTCGGAGAAGCCAGGTTTCACAGGCGTAGAGCAGGGCAGCCCACACCGAAGCACTGTATGCCCGACCTTTGACAGCCAGGCTAACATCGCAACAGCGCCATAGGTGGCTCAAACTGATGTCTGCCACTAATCGTTAGTATACATAGACTTTATAAATTCTATCATCCAGCCGCAAACATCACTCATTTATTATATGCTAATGTTAACGTTGAATAAGGTTCTTTTCAAGAATTAACTTATTGATATAATAGGGCGAGGGGGTAGGATAAGAGATAATATTAGATAGTTGGAAACAAGCGGCAGGAAACCTTGTCTGAACTAGGTTTCGTGCTTGCTGGCACTTATCAGTAAACCCAGAGGAAATGATGTGCCCCCCTGCCGCCTGAGATTAGAGACCGACTTAGTCACCACCACCAATCAACGTGAGTTTAAATAGCTCAATGATAGCAACTCTGACTAAAATATTGAGTGATACAGGTTCGGATCCCATAGGAGACATCACAGTTCCTTCAAGGTTGCAGATACGCTGTGCCGATTAGTGCCAAAAAGCACGAAACTTAGATCAGATAGGACATCCTGTAAACTGTCTCCAACTGTTTAACATCACAATTCAGAGTGTACCACGATGGTCACTCCCACTTATCTTGGTGACCACATTACAACACCGACTGATATAATTTAGTCTGTATCAGCACCGAGGACTAGGCGAATGAAATTAGTTACTCTCTAGTGACCAATATCATTTTTGGTATGATAATCAGATAAAGTACGAAAGAGGTTGTATCGACAGAGATGACATGGGGAATGTGTAGGATACATGCATAACCATTGCTTTCCTCAATGAGTATATTAGATTGATAGAGAATTACGTTGGAAAAGACGTATATACGTATGGACTATCTGACTGTAGTTACTGGAATGGAAAGACACCAAGATTATAGACTACTGGTGGTATGGTCCTCAAAAAGGTGTTCACAATGACACAGATGTATTGACTTCATATGATGTTCAAGGCTCTGGAAATTCCCGTTATTTTAAGTCTGCTTATTTTTAACCATTCTAGTTCTATGTGTATGGTTTTATAAAATTGTATAACTTGAACTGATGGAAAGTTCAACGTAGATAACACAGTTCAGTTTAGTGGAAGGTAGACGCCAATGTAAAAGTACGAAGATGTAGTGCTGTTGGTGTTTTCGCATAAACAAAAACATTAGTTGTGTGTGGCAGCTGATGATACTATCCAGTTGTCAGATCGAACTATGCAGAAAGGGGTTCGAACCCGGTACTCAATGATTCAACATTAACGAGTCACACACACCGAATGTGCTAAACCTTCATCGTGATACCACATTAAATAAAAAGATAATGGGATAGAAAGAAGAAGAGAATGCACTACGGCGTAATTCCTGTGTGTTCCGAGTGAAATACAGAACTCCAACATTTAGCGTTGAAGTTTCACGTATAAGTGGGAAGTGTTTTATACTGTGGGATGAGATCGCTAGCCTTAAACCCGACTTACCATCTTAACCGGGTTTACTAATGACTAAGCCACGTCTAGTAGTTGTCGGGATTCGAATTCCCGATTATTTCCGTGGTTTTCAAGTATTGGTTTTGTAGGGATTTTGTTTGATTGAGTGGAGGATTTCACCATGAGCTGACATCAGTTAGAGAACCACTAGAAAACCAGGGAGTATTGGAGAGCTGTTTCATTCTAGTTTGGGACTCTTCAGCAGTACGTACAAAACCAATACTTCAAAATCAACCTGATGCTCACTAGTGACTGGCCCTATTCAGGCAGTTAACCTGGGGTTCTGGTGGGAAGCCGTGACCAGTAGAGTACAGCAGGTTGAAGATGAGGCAGTAACTCATCGAAACAGACATTGCGAAGTGGTCGCGCTATGTCGTGAATTGGGAGAAGTTAGAATTCAAGGACCATTGGATCGGATCCCAGTGGCCCAATGGCCTACGAGCTCGCCTTGTAACCAGAAGGTCCTGGTTTCGAACCCCGTGGTGTGTGTGCGTACTGCTGAAGACTCCCAAACTACGATGAAACAGTTGGCTGTCCAGTACTACCAGGTTTTCCAGTTGTTCTCTAACTGATGTCAGCTCATGGTGAAATCCTCCATGTAATTCCGTGGTTGACGAGGATTCTACCAGTGAACCCCCCGAAGATTTCAGGCCGACGCACCACCAAACCTCCCTTAGCCAGTAGTAGGAGCGTTAAAAACGGAAGGTTAGTCGTGAGATTAGCAAACTCACTCAGTAAAACCACAACCGTTACTGATATTTCAAAGATCTGACTTGCAGCTCTGCTTCACTCGAAACGCAAAGGAATGATGACTCATGGCAAAACCAACTGGTTATTAGAAAACATTTTTTTCACCATTGCCAACAATTTGAGAAAAAAAACCTCACTAAAAACAGTCTTCAATAATTAGTAATTCTTAAAACGCACGACACACTAAACCGCATCAATCTACACAACTCTAAACAGTATACAAAATTAGTTAGATTGAAAGGATTGACAGCATTTATGCCTTGGTCTGACCAATTGTAGTTCATTTCCAACCAACTCCTACTTATAGTATTCTGTTTAGGGTGACTAGCAGTGGGATCCAGGATCCACACATTTCGCCCCCATCCAGATGTACCAGCTAATGATATTCCCACTGAAAATCAAACCCGGTGCCCATCGTTTCGTGGCCCAAATGATTTTTAGGCTAACGATTTGGTATTTCGAAATGAAGGGTACTGAGTCGAAATTTCAGTAGAAATATCATCACTCATTGGCGGGAATGGGAAGGATTGCGAGTACGTCCTGGATTTCACTGTTAGTCACTATCCACCGAACAACACCAGTGTGCATTGCCACACATCATCTAAGCATCGTTTAAAAAAGGAAAATAAAACATATTTCGGTCAACCGTCTATCAAAGAAAAGCAGTTGGTCGGAATGTGGAACACACTCACTAGTAAAGGTGTTATTCAGTGTGACCATTAAAATAACAATCTAAGGCATTAATTTTTTCATACACAGAATCAGTCATAAACTTACATTTGATGCGAGGAGATTCATCACCGCCTCTGATTTGATGATTTCATTCCCAAAGACAGTTTTATGATCCATAACCCCATCTGCAAAACCGGCACCAACAGCAGAAGCAACAGATGCTGTAGCCAAAGACGAAGATGGCAAATGTGATGATGACGCTGATGTTGATGACACCGACGATAAGTATGTGTTAACACCAGGTCCAATAGCTGTATCTACATACTTTGCATATAAATTATGCCTCTGCATATTCCAAAATTCATGATTATTCACCGGAATATCTATACCACGTCCACAATAGATTAGATCAGTTCGTGCACAGGAACCAATATTTTTTTGAAGTTGTAGCGATGAGTCAGCATTCGAATTGGTAGTGTCAGTACTCTGTGGATAATTTACTTGCCTATTCCATATCCGTACCAAATGTGACCATGTCGATCGATAGGCATCACTGTAAAGTGAATGACAGATATAGAGTATAACAACACAGAAATCAGTGCATAGAGAATGATAAACAACAAAAAATAAATAATCGATTCTTTATAAATCATAGAATCAATCAATCAAAAAGGCAATAATAGTACAGAGTGAACAGTTACCACCACGACTCTGTGTGTGTGTAATAACTTTCTGTGGCAACAACATAATTATTGTTGTTTTAATTTATAAGGTCACTCTTATAATAGAGTAATTTCCGGATGACTTAAATTTAAAAAAAAATGTAAATCTTGCAAATTAGTACACATAATGACGTTTAAAACAACACGCTAAGGCAAGCTAAAATAATATTTAAAAAATTAAATAAAATGCAGGAAGTTCTAAATAAAAAAAAGTTTTGAAAATAAAAATAGAATACAGTTGGAAAATTCAAGTGAACTTCGAAATTCCCGTTGATTACCGATTATGTAGGATGCAAATGTACAGGTCTGTGTGGACATAAGTCGGCTTTTAGTACGGATGCTTCAACGATGCGCCTAAGGACTAGCAGTCGAATCCAGGATGTGCATTTCGTCTCATCTGGAATTCGTCAGTTGTGAATATATTTGCTAATCCTCCAGCGGGTGATATTTTATTACCATCGGGAATCGAACTGACAAGCCATCGTTGAAAAACGTTATAGCCTTATTCAATAGACTACTTATACCAACGATACATCAACTATACACTAGAGAGAGTGTAACGATGGAAGACAAGGGCCAGTCAACAGATACTTTATTGAGAAAATCATGAGTTATTTATAGATTTTTAGGTACATTATTGTCAGCAAAGAAGCAACGTCTTCTGATTGGTTGTTTTCTTACCCAAGGTTATTCTGTACTGCTTGTGATCTCTTCTCAGAAAGTAAGGCCATACATCTGCGAATCGTATTTGCACACTAATTGTACTGTGATTGGTTGGTTAGTTCCTTAAACTTAAGCTTTGTTATTGTTTTTCTCATGACCCTGATTCGGGACGTAACCTTGAGGTAAACTGCTGCCTACAATTTTGACTTGCAGCCAGTGCTCACCACAATAGTATATAGTTCTGATGGAATTTGCTTTTATTTGGAGATTACTTCGTATCTACTTATTTTCTTCGGTGTAAACATTCACAGCTAACTTCGCCTACAAGCGTAAATGTAATCTACACGAACTTATTCATTCATATGGAGTTTGTAGTATAGAGGTCACTGAAAAAGAAACTAATTAAAGAACTAAATACCTTGGAATAGTTCACTCCTGTGACCTTTTTTCTTCATTCCATATGTTCCGACTAACCTTCAAACATTGAGAAGCTAAAAGACAATCGAGTATCACCCCATCTCCAAATTTACAGCTTGTTAGCTCTTGCATCTTACCTATTGTACTTTACTGCTTCCACTTAGTCTTTCTTGGGCTGCTCAAATACGACTATGTCAATATTACTCAGGGCATTAACGGTAGGGCAAGTGGTGTGCCACTTAGTCAGCTAGCTACTATTGTAATCGAAAGACACCTGAACTCATGTGAAAAATGATCTAAATCCATGGTGTCTAACTCTCAAATACCCTCTCCACTCGAAATCTCCCCCCCCCCCCTTGCATCTCATCAGGCAAGACTAAAAGTCACTATAAAAAAGATCATATGTTCTTAAAACTAGGTACGAAAATTCAACGATACCCTGTTGAGCCCCTTGTTCTGTGTGACAGAATAATAAGTATAACAGTGGAGTTTATATCACTTACCACGTGATTTGCAAAATAAGTGGCTCTTTTATCTTTGCCTATTTGTAATTTATGGTGACAGTATTGTTACTATTTTATTATTTCAGTTATTATGATTATTTCACACTTTTTGCACATTTTCGACTTTATTGTTACTGTAAGCGATAGAAAGTTGCTGTTTTCAAGAGTTTGCTTGAAGGGATTCGACAAGTTTCAAGTTTAATCCCGCATCGACATCAACTAGAGGACCACTTGGAAACCAGCATGGAGTAATAGACAGTCGTTTTGTCCTCGTTCATCATCAGTACGTATCTGCTGGGTATCCAACTGGTCGAAGGAGAGGACAAAAACTCGCCACGGACAACGCTGGCTGGTGGCCACGCTAATATGACGAATAAGTAAGAGCTAGAATTCATGGGCTGGTCACTGAATAGGGTCACAGTGACTGAATGGTATACAAGCTTGCCTTGTAACCGGAAGGTCCTGGGTTCGAACCCCAGTGGATGCGTACTGCCGATGATTCCCAAACTAAGCTGATGAAACAGTTGTCCAGTGCTAGTTATCAATGGTTTTCTAACTGATATCAATCCATGATCAGACTTAAAATTTGCTGTTATCAATCTTGTTTACCTACACCATATAATGTTTGAGTTAATTAGATGCAATATTCTGAGAATTCCGTATGTTTTGGAATAAAGCAAATTATTATTATTATTATCATTACACCCCTAATGTACAGAAGTTAGCACTGAAGATTTTGTTAAGAAAGACAAGGAAAGTATCTATTTTGACAACAATGACCGAGTGGTTAAGACTTTGGAGTTGAAATCAATGCGATTTTCGCCGCGCAGATACGTGATCTGTTTTTTGACTTTTTGTATGAGTGGCTCAGCAGGAGAATGCTAACCAGCAACACACATGATCCGTGTTCGAATCCCTACCAATAAATACACTCGTAAAGCATCTCTTCCAGTTTACTAACAGATAGTTAGTTAGCCTTTAAGAAAAGGGAAAGTTGACAGTGTAAGGATAACAGCAACCCTACCGTGTGAAAGCAACACAACTGCTACTAAAACTTTAAAGTCCAAGCTTGAAACCAACCCAATTTTATTTGTAACAAACGAAGGGAATCAATGAAAAAGAAACGCTAAGTGAACACAACTACACCAAAAAATAGTCCCCACCACCATCAGTCAGTCATTCAATTGTTTCTCTAATCAGTATCCGCCGCTAATCTATGAGAGAGTGTTATACTCTGCGTTTCCTTCAAGACAAAAAGTGAACATAGATGATGAGTAGTGTCACGACGATACTTCCTGGCGTTCTCAGATGAATTATCATGAAGATTTCACACAGATAATAACTGTTAACCATGAGAGTCAGTGAACCAACCAACACACATTTACACACTGAATTTTGCTAGGTTCATTTAATACACTAGGGCAAGTGTTAAATACATCATTGATGCATAATACATAGGCTCAGGATGTCTGCTAGCATTCAGGTTATGCATGTGTCTCCTGTGTAACTAAACACATATAGACACCAACATTGACACTTCACAAATAAAATTAATGCGTGAGGTTTCAAGTAGGTCAGAAATGATATCAGCACAGCCCTACGAGAATTAAGCGGATTAAATTGGTAATACAAAAAGAGAATTAGAGTACACGATTGAAAAGGTAGATACTAATTACTGATTATTTTGTACAATTATAAAGCATTCTACTAGGCTGCTAACATCAGGCACATCATAAAGGACTGTGAGCACTTCAAGAAAGCCTCACTGGAATAAGTCGTCAAAGACTAAGTGTGTCTTTTTCAAAGACCACCTACCTTTTTCCAACACTTCCCCGATCACGACAGAAAGAAAAACTACAATTCTGAAGATGCTAGCGTTTTTCCAACTCCTTTCTTATAGTTGGTATCAATTTTAATAAAAAAAATTAGCATTACTAAAGCACAAAAATCGATAGATTATGGGCATTAACAGAAGTGCCAAGCACCATGTGATACTGTGTAGACACCGTGACCGAAGTAAATGGTTGTTTTGAGAGGTTACCCATCTCCCAGAGGACTTCGATGACCATGTCCACATATAGACCATAGATGTGTGGAATCAGAGTTTTCCAGATCCCCTAGGTAGAAGACCAGCATGCCTATTAGTCGGGTTCTAGGCGCTAGACGTTCAAGAATTCACCCATTCATTTTGTGAGGAACATTTTAGGCGCATGAGGAAATGAATAGCGCTTGGCTGACTGGTAAAGGCTATGAACGCGTGACCAAATGACAGCATTTCGAGAGGACAACTGAAGTCTACCCTGCCATCAAGCCATGTGTATCAGATAGTTTTAACGGACAGATATTTTATTGAAACTTACACATAACAAGATGCCGGATTGGATTCATTTGTTGCATTGATTAAATTTTCCATTTCTAATTCATCTTCTACACTACCCGCGTCATCATCATCAACATCACCTTGATGCATGTCTTTGACATCGCTCTCATCGGTCAATTGTTGATGATAATGGTGATTGTCGTCAATATGTTGTAAAGGAAGCGCTGTAGATGATTTCCTCGAATAATTTTCTTTTCGTTCATTATGCATAGAATATAATACATGTGATATATGTCCTTTGTATCATGTGAATCAATACAATTAGAAATAGAATGAATATCTGAAGGTGTGGTGGACGATGAGGAGCACGAGGTGGTGGGGAGGATGCTTTTATTATCCAAATGATGAGCATGAGGAGGACCCGTTTTATCTAAAGCAAAAAACAAGAAAACGTAGAAAGTTTGTACAAAATGACGTCACACATATGAAGTTAATGAAATAACGAAAAAATCAACTTAGAAAATGTAAACACATAGAAAGAAGTAGACAATGATTTAGTTAAGAGAGGTGGAATGACATATCCACCCTCCTAGGTGAAGGTGTTGATAAGTTAGAGCACAGAGTCTTTTCAATACCTTAAGTAACAATCTAAGGTGTTTAGAATGCGATTCGTTCCTTTGGTCACATGTAAGATGATGCCACAGGACTCAACTGACTACATCGACTCATTTTACGACTTAGAGATAGGGAGAGGGAAGTGGTGAAGCGTGTTAACCACTTCACTCACTTATTAGGGAAGTTGCATCAGCCAACGCCAAAGGGTTGATCGCTGACGAAATCTCAGAACGGATACAGAAGGCTCATTTGGCATATGCCAAACAACTTACGCCATCTTTGGCTTAGTAGACGCGATATCGGTTGATTGTCAACCAAAGGGTGTGTGTACTGCTCAGCAGTTCGCTCCGTCCTCCTCCTTTATGGTTATCTGTGAGTGAGACATGATCATTGAAAGCCTTGCTAGTTGTCTTTGATCATATGTGTCTGTGTTTTATCCCCCGTGTTAGGTGGTATAATAAGGTGAGCAATATCAAGGTGAGGCTTAGGTCGAGTACTAGAAAAGTCAAGGAAGTTGTGAAGTTAGATCGATTGAGACAGATGGTTACGACATGTGTCATGCATGCATCCCTAGCCATCGATGGCCTTCTTTGACAACGGGCAATGTTAGCTGACATAGAATGGATCAGATTGGAAAAGAGTTAGCTTTGATGGTCAAACTTAAACATGGCTTTATTAGTCAATGAAATCCATAGCAGTTAGTTTAAGCCAGCAACTAGTCACTTAGGAAGGTGCAGACTGTCTGGCTGACTGATGGGTTACTCAGGATGGTAAAAACCAATGAAGGCTGAAGACAATAATCGGGATGTGACTCGAAATCGTTGTAAATGGCTGGTACAGATGCATTCACTCTTTGTGATTTATCATAACCAATTAAATTCTACTGTTCTTCCATATTACTATTTATTTTCCCTCATTCACACTCTGTTTATTATGAAGACTGAGATGGCTAGGTCACGTGGAACGAATGTTAGGTGACCACCTTACTCGACACGTAATGTTAGCTGATTTACGCTGGAAAAGAGTTACGAGGGTGATCAGACAAAAACCTGTATTCAATCCATGAAGTTTTTGACAGTCGGTTTTAACCAACCATGTGTAGGTGCAGTCTGTCTTAATGAGATTCACAGGATGCTTAGAACCAATGTCTGGAGACTATTGGTGATATGGCTAACAATCCCTTCTCTCAATGATTCAGATGCACTCACTCTTTGTAACTGATCATAATTGTTTTGAATTTCTGTTTTTCATTTCTCTGCCTTTGTACGCAATATGGAATTCGGGAACTTCAAATGGTGCATTTTTGTGTAAAGTTCTAAGTTGTACCTCACTCAAACAGTTCTAAATGACGTACTAAGAGACCTAGATGAGTAGATTCCAGTCGTTGCTCGAAATATTCTTAAGTTGCCCCTGACAGGTGGGGCCTGTTCACAATACATTCACATCACACAGTGTCAAGTTTTCTCACATAAGTGGGCAGGTAAATAAGAATATCTCAAGGATTATTTGCACCACTAATAAGGACAAGAGGTTAAGCAGGGTAACTTCAATTAAATGGTCTTCACATTAGCACGTACGCATTGAGTGCACTAACCATATTTGACCTATACCAGTTACACTAACAGCCAAACAAACATTATGATGAGCAATAACAAGGATCTTGGGAGTACTACAGTGAATAATTCAATGACAGCAATCATCGTTCAACATGCCTACCAAGAATAAAACCAGGTACCATGGATATGTGCTGCTGAAACCTTCATGTTACACTCAGAACGCAAGGTACGAATAAATAATAATGATAACAGATTGTGGAAGACAATTATGTGCGAAGTATCTAGTGAAATGAAAGTCATTTTAGTGTAGTCGTCGGCCAGTGTCTGTCACCTGACAACCAGAGAGTCCGCTGAGAAGTAAACGACATGCAGTTCAAAACGACCACATCAAAACCGACTCTCCAACTTGCCATTACGAAAGACGTATATTATCAAGCTACCCTATATATGGATGATCATAACAGCCTGACAACTAGACTACAGTTGAACACTGTTGGGGTTAAAAAGACTTTTTGTACAGTTAAGATCATAATAACTGAGAATATAAAGCCCCCATATCCATCTATGCCCTTAGAACATGCGAAAAATGATGTCACATCCCACTGTATTTACCGATTTGAATGTACACATGCACACATACATAGGGAGAACTCATCGATCTCTGCAAGTAAGGGCTGGCTTCAGAGCATATTCCTAGATGGCTTCAGAAGCAATAGTCCCCAGAACCCATCAATGGTGAGAACAGGAGACCTAGCTCCTCTATTGCGAAACATTATAGAGACAGGACTTAAAATTGATGTTTACACATCTTTTAAACCTATCTATAAAACTTGTTTGGGGCGTATCCTACAGTTTGTGGAAGCCCTAGCTGGCAATTAGAAAGTTTAAGCCACCTTTATGCGGTCATAGCAACAATTCGTTATCACAGGGTAGATGTATTATTACCTCTGTTATTTGGTTTAGTGATTTTCATTGTTATTTTGACCTTTAATATGTCCTTTTATCTTTATTTAAATTTATTTTCTCACCTCTTAACTCTTTATTAATTTCATATATATGTACTCCTATGACAAGTTCGTGTGTGTGATCAGATTGTTCGAAATGTGTTGTGCAAACATGTTACACAATTCAGACAAATTAGGTTTCCCTGTTGCTTTGTCTAAATTCATAAAAGGAACTGATTGTTTTAAATACAATATATAGTTGGCATATATGATTTAGTGGAGTCAAGCAATACGTCTTGTTCTACCACACTGGACATATCATCCCATTCTTTACACTGACGAAGGTGACTGTTGTGAAAAAATAAACCATTTTTTGTTTCGGTTACTCTAACGAAGTTGATGGTCAGGAAAGCTTCGTTTGATTAAGGAAGTGTGTGTGTATGTGGCTATACATCCCGGATGCTTACATCGTGGAAGTTGACTCTTATTTGTGGGGCGAAGAGAAGAAAAACGGTATTGCCCAGGCACAGCTGCTAGAGGCATATCACACATGCAGTTTGAAAGGATTTTAGAGTTGTGTCCGTACTAAGATCATCTTACTGTAATTGCGGACTGCCTCAAGGTAAGTTGAGATATACGATTTCTGGGATCGACGTTTTTGACCTCCTGCCTCCCTAGAGCACAGAAGTAGCATACCTGGCTTCCTGGTTATTCAAGAGAAACATTTCACTGCTGTTTCATTCCCTTTCGACAGCAGTACGATTTTGCTCACGGACCCACAACAACTTACAATATGATGGTGAATATTTTCAGTCTTAAACTCCACTTAGACCACCTTTCACAGGCACGGTGGGACCTGAAGGAACATAAGTCCCAATCAATATGGCTCATTGAGTCAATCCGATATGCGAGTCAAACTCCACCACGTCAAGGTGGTGGCAGTTATCGATTGCTAACAAAGACTGAAGAGCCGAGAGATATATCAAGTGTATAAAGTGTATAAATTACAAATCTAACAACCACTATATGAAAAAATATCCCTAAAATGACTCCTGAAACTATCTATGAAACAAGCAAATTATACAGGATTTCATCATGAGCTGACATTGATTAGAGAACCATTGAAAACCAGCTGAGAGTACTGAACAGCTGTTTCACCCCCCCCCCAGTTTGGGACTCTTCAGCAGTACGCACCCACCGGGACTCGAGCCCAGGACTTTTCGGTTACAAGGCGAGCTCTTAGACCATTGAGCCACTGGGACACGATCCAATGACCAGTCCATGAATTCTAACTTCTGCCAATTCATGATATAGCGCAATCACTAGCCAATGTCTTCGGGGAGTATTTGTCCTCAAACGCGACCTGCTGCACCCTACTGGTCACACCCAGGTTTTCCAATGATTCTCTAACCCATGTCAGATAATGATGAAATTCTTTAACCAATCAAATCCCTACAAAGCAACACTTCAATAAGCAAATTATACACCAATAAGCATAGACAAACCATTTGTTTAGAAAAATGTAAATGTAACGAAAAATCATAAAAAAAACAACTTTAAGCTTACTTTGAAGACCGGTGGCAGCATATCTGTTTTCTTTAACATCACCAACAATATTATCCCCAGTGGGAATAGGCATTTCTGCATTTTCATCGAGTTTAGGCGGTGGTGAAACTTTCGACAAGATATACTTATCGTGGTGTTTACTTTCAGATGGACAGCACAGGCGATTTTTCTTCTTGTGATGCCTTGAAGAAGGATAATAATCACTGCTCTCTAGTTTCGTCGTAACTTCATCTAATTCATCGGGCGCAGGAGAACGAGGAGGACGAGGAGGAGGAGGGGTAAGAGGAGAATTACAACTGGAACTTGTCATTGTAGTATCAGTAGATTCATTATCATTGTCATCATCATCAGATCCGATGTAACAATCAGAATCTTCACAACATTGTGATGCATTAAATGATGATGAGGATGATAATGATGATTCTGACGCTGAATAATACTCATCTTGATTGGATTGTAATGAATACGGCGAGGATATCGGTGATGATAGATTAGTAGTAGTAGATGACTCATAACATGATCGATATTTCTCTTTCTTTTGAGGAGATTCTTCACAATTCATCAATCGACGAAGGATACGTTTCTTGTGCCTTTTTTTATCAGAAAATCGATTGCATGGTTTTGGTGTATTTGGTACAGAATTAGATTTCATTTGTTTTATTACAACACTTGACATATCAGGCTTTCCTGATTGTTCATCTAGTGGAATACGGGGAGGCGGGGAAAAAAATAAGAAGCGAATTCAAGTGGGGATAAAAGCTATTGAAAAGTGTTTCGCGCAACGTACAGTGAATACCCAAGTGATTGAATGGCCAACATGTGAGGGGCCCGGCTTCAAAACCTGGTTGAGTCATGAGTGCGTACACTTGAAGTGTTCCAAACTAAGACAAAACACCTGTGTGGATGCATCGGTGATTCCAGGATAGAATGCTCACCAACCACGCATACGGTTCAGGTTCAATTCTCAGCCAACGCATTCCTAGAACTCACTTAGCCGATGGAAAGTCGAGTAAAGAGACACCGTTGACAGTATACCTCCAAAGTTGAAGCTTGAAGCCCTACATTCCATTCAGAACGCGAAAGATGAGAAAATTAAAAAAACACGCCACAACACATATCCCAGTAGTGTAAAAAGTTGATAAAACAGCTTCAAAATAGCCAAATATAACATCCACCCTAAGAAGCATGTAATACAGAATCACAAACTAATACCATATCAACCTAAGGGAATTCAAATCGTAATTCACCGCCTCCATTCTGCCTATCCACCAATCAATTATTATTGAAACGAAAGAGCAGCAAGTTCGTCTAACTATAACTTATATACTCATCCCAGAAAGGGATAAAAAAATATTTTGCGTATACTATTGAACTACTTATAAGTAGTATAAAATTGTAATACTAAAAACAATGAACTGTAAACTACATAACCTGACGAGAGTGAGCTAGTGACAAACCAGTGTCCCTTGACAGTGTATATTTTCTCAGCAAAAGTAGAAACCAATGTACAGAATTGTATCAGAAGACAAGAAAGTCCTAAGATTTCAAAATAATGGATTGAGATGCAGCTTTCATTGTTCTTTTAGATGAAATCTTAGATGAAGTTATCACTGAAGGTGTTGAAGTAAGTAGGGAGACCATGAAACCACCTAATTACCAATTATCGAGCGTCGGTAGTACAGTGGTGGAATTCTTACCGACGCACTCTTCGACATCGCTAAAACCGGTAATAAGACTAGTAAAACAGTGAAGGTTGGGCATGAGGCTGGCTAGCGACCTCATCCATCCAGTAAAAATAAACACCACTACTGCTACCGAAACTTCAAGCCTCTAGTTTAAAGCCTTATGTTCCAATGGGAACGTAAAGGAATTTCTAAAAAAATCCACCAATTATCCTTGGCTATGTTCAAAATCCAAAAAAAACTATTAAATATTAACACAGAATATATTTTAACACATCACAGTCATTTACAAGCATTTTTACATGAATAAATATGAAAAAGGGAGTGAAAATAAATAATCTTTTGAAAATACACAGAGGAAAAAGAAGTGCTTATTCGACTTTCTTTCAAATGCTGGATGTGAAAATCACGTGTTAGTCTTCTTCCTTGAGAAAAAAAAACTAATTTTATATCGGCGAAGTTAAACTTTAAGCACCAGTAAAGTAAACCACCAATGGAATGCGACTACTGCACCAATAACCTTGAAACGCTCATTCAACAGTAAAAAGCTGCCAAATAGCATTGTAATCATGAATAAAATGTGCTTTATCAAGGTGGTATTTTTAATCATCATCAAATGGGATATCTGGTAAGTTTCAGGTTAGGTTTGGGAAAGATCAAGTTAAGGTTTAGGTTAAGGACACGTTAGGGTTAAAAGTCACAACCTAATGAGGCCAACATTAGGGCCGGTTTGAGTTACATTAGGGTTAGAGTTCAGGGATATTTCCACTTTAGAGTCAGGGTTAAGAAAAGATTAGGAATATTGTTAAAGTTAAAAGACCTAGATTATTACGCGCATATAATGTGGTTAAATTAGTCTGTCGAAACTCCCCAACCCGAAACTAAGAGGTATTTTCGTTACACGTCACAGTTTCATACCTTTAATTCTTCATTATTTTATACGCATAAATCGCCTTTATTGTGTGGTTGTTGTCTTCAAATTCATTTATCCATTAGTACTCACTGATGCTTAAGGTTTAACTTTGCCATTATTTCGACGTTTATTTGTTGCAAAATGTGAAAGTAAAAAAAACAAGACAACTTGATGTCTTATATTACTGACTGATTGATTCAGTAGTTCGACACCACTCAGATCAACTGGTAGTGCTCGCTATCTAATCAGGTCGGGGCCGAGCTCAAAAATGGTGGGTGTACCACCTAGTTTGATTCAGCTCATAGAGCCAAATTAGTTCAAATCCACACCCCACCCTGGATTTCATTGAATCAACACGTTTCCTTATGGTATGATTGAGAAATCAACATCAACACAGATAGAATCCTTGCGTTTCTAACGAAACACAGGGGTGGGGCGCTTTAAGCAGTGATATTGGCTAGTCTAACAATCAACTTTCCCGCCTTTTCAGAGCTTTTTGTTGGTTAGCAAATAAGGCAAAGTTTAGGAGTGCATCGAGCAAGAGCAAAATCCCAACCATCTGGTGTTGCTGAGCTCCCCCCACCCCCAAGTACTCATCTATGGAATACTAATCTGAATTTTTTTCTTATGATTCCACAATTCTCCCCCCCCCCCAAACACACACACCGCTAAACTTCAGTATGCAATTTACAATCTCTCCCAGCAGACACACAAAAGATAAGTGTTACAATATATGAATAAATAATTCACCGTTATTTTCACGCATACACACAGATACAAAATAAAGTGAAAAATAATTAATTAACTAAATAAAACGTTGAGTACAATTGGTGAGAAAATAACACCAAATGCATATTCCACTATTACTCTACTATATCTCTATCTATCTTTTGGAGAATACATTTTCCGTGACTTCAAAAAATTTTTAAAAATATTCTTTGTTTTTCGCCTTTTTGATGTTTGCTTCCGACTGATGAATTAGAATATAAATTGTTCAAGTTTCTTTACGGTACAAAATAAGGGGAACAAAAAAAACGACTACTCTCAAAGAAAGCTGATTCCGTGATAATTTTTGCTTAATATTCTCAGCAGAATTCAGTATTCATTTTTGAATGCTTTGCACATAGAGAGAGAGATAAGGCATAACATATTTACTTTAAGTTTATTATTATTATATCCTTTAATTCCTGGGCTTCAGCTGCGCGTCTCCATTGCCTTCGGTTTTCTGCCAACTTTTTCACGCCGCCCCAAGTCTGTCCACATGCTTTCATCTCCTCTTCATATGACCTCCTCCAAGTCACCCTTGCACTGAAGACCAACTCACCGCTTCCCCTTCAACCGGGTTCCACTCGAGCCATGGCTTGTCTAGTGATGTCACTTGATGGTTTCCTCTGTGTATGGCCAGCCAATCCATTTCCATTTCTTCCTGCCTATTTGTTTCACAATCGGTTCCAGCTGGGTTGGTTCGCTCATTTTCAGAGATCCCTGTAGGTGATCTTTTCTTATAACCAAAATGGTGGACATGGTGGTCTTGCTTAGAATAGCAGAAAAAAACCCTGATTCGAAATCTATAGTTTGTATAGTCCAGGAAATATGAAAGGATCTAATAGAGTATAATCACAGGAAACTATGGGACGGAACGCTTGACACTGCTGCATCACTTTGTGAATCAGATTTCAACTCGAAAGCTCAGCAGTAGGGTTGGGCTGCTAAGGACAACCATTCGCTTTGGCCCAGGCGTCTGCGCGGTACCTCCCCCTCGCAGGCCTCGTACAACCTATTACAACATTTTTGCGACATATCTCTCGGTGTCCATAATGTACTGAATTTGTGTTTTATTATTATTAATAATAATAATAATAATGACATCTAAGGGACAGAATGCACCCGTACACATACATACACAAATTTTAGCACCTCCATAATTTCATATAAAAAGAAGGCTAAAACCATTGTTGTTATTCCGATCGTAGAGTCATTGAAAAAATGGAGAGAATTTTGTCTGTCGAATGAAGAAAACATATCTCCCAGCATTAAAAACAGGAGAAAAGGAGAGAGAGAGAGACAAAGAGAGAAACTATGAAACAACTTGTGAAGAAGACGTAAGATGTAATAAGCAAACTTTAAAGTGACGTATATCTTCAAATGAAAAAACATTAACTTAAACACTAAGTTAACTTGAAAACGAACAAAAGAAGAGAAAAGAAAAAAGCCTCTTCAATTTAAAATGGATTCCTAGGAGCTTATGAAATATCAATGAAGCTGTGACAGTGAATAGTGATAACAGGAGTGCTACAATGGTAACTAGAGACTGGCAATGACGACTGAAAGTGAAGTATTACAGAGTCTATACATATATATATATATATATATATGCTCTAGGATTGCTAGTGAAATATACCAAGTCTGCAGATCTTTCATCAACACACAGAAACTTTAACTAGATTTATAAGGTGAATGGAGCATGAAAACATCGTCTCTTTATCACTGCAATCGATTCTGAGTCATAACACTGAGGTTTTTCCTCACTTATTTAGCTCCATGACTATAATAAAGAGCATTCAACTGAGTCTGTCTGATGGATTCAACATAGAACCCGGCACCGAAGTGCACCAGTTAGAGTTGCCACGTTCCAAATACCACACAAAGGTAGACAAGAACATGACGAGTGAAGAGAATCAATAGAGTTTGACAAGTATAAGAGTGAAACAGAATGGGTAATGGTAGAAAGAAATATGAAAGATTACAGAGACTGAATACATCTCCGCTGGCCATTGACAACGATTTTGAGCCATGTCACCCATTGTCTCCAGCCATTGATTTCTGGAGTCAGTCCCGAGGGCCCCAACCCGAATGTTTGCATCTCCCTACCTGACCGACCGACTCAGTTTAACTGTCAAGGATTTCATAGATTGATGAGACCATGTTTTGTTTGGTCACCATTTACTCTTTTCCAACCTGCACCTATCTATATCAGCTAGTAATACCCGTCGGGGAGGTGATATTCAACTGAGCATACCAGACATCGGTACACCACACTCATACACACCAACAAGCGGATAGTTTCACAACTTTATCCAAACTCTGAAGATACAGTACCTTTATCAAGTAAAATGTGCTAAAGCATATTTTTTTTAACACATTGCAAGTAAAACAGAAAAAGAAAATATAGCAAAACAAAATTCAGCCAAATTCAAAACAACAATCACAGTTTCTGACACACTAGGCAAAAAGAACTCTGGCAACAAACTCCAGTCACGTAATTTTCGCCCAACAAAATATACAGAAGAAAATGAAGACAAATAGATCGAATAGATATGAGCTGAGGGGGAGTAAGATCACGTGCCAGGTAGGCCTTTGAATAGAACGCGAATGGGAAACGAAAAGTTTGACTGTTGATCTGAAGATGACTTGGAGAAGATCGTTTGAGAAGGAAATGGAAGCTTATTGGGAATTGTATAGCCAGAAGAGAGTAGAGTGAAATGCCGACCTGCTGATAAAGTCTTATGTTCCATACAGAATACAAGGTATCAATAATAATATGTTATTAACACTTTTTGGCATGTTTGTATGTTTGGCATGCGATTCGTCCCTGTAAAATGTAAGATGTTGCTAAAGGACTGGACTACGTCAACTCCTAGCTTAGTCATAGGGAGTGAAGTGATAGAACATGTTGACTACTTCACCTATTTGGGAAGTTGTATCAGCACCAACGGACTGATTGGCGACGAAATCTCAGCACGAATACGAAAAGCTCGAACTGCTTTCGCTGACTTGTAGGCGTAGGCGTGACATCCGGCTATCAACCAAAGGACGTGTGTACTGCTCAGGAGTTCGCTCCGTCCTTCTCTATGGCTCTGAAACATGGCCAATACGAGTTGAAAACATGAAAAGGTTGACTGGTTTGATCATAGATGTCAACGATCTCTTCCTCACGTTAGGTGGTATAATAAGGTAAGTAATGCTGGCGTTAGGTGTAGAGTGTTGGGCAAACAAGGAAAATCAATCGACGAGGCTATAAAGTTGCACATGTCTAACCATCGCCTCCCCCGATGAGCATTATTAACTGATATAAATAGGTGCAGGTTGGAAAAGAGTAAGTGGTGGTCAGACAAAAACATGTCATCAATCCATGAAATCCTTGACAGTTAAACTGAGTCGGTCGGTCAGGTAGAGAGATGCAGACTTCCGGGTTGGGGCCCTCGGGACTGACTCCAGAAATCAATGTCTGGAGGCAATGGGTGACATGGCTCAAAATCGTTGTCAATGGCCAGCGGAGATGTATTCAGTCTCTGTAATCTTTCATATTCCTTTCTACCATTACCCATTCTGTTTCACTCTTATACTTGTCAAACTCTATTGATTCTCTCACTCGTCATGTTCTTGTCTACCTTTGTGTGGTATTTGGAACGTGGCAACTCTAACTGGTGCACTTCGGTGCCAGGTTCTATGTGGAATCCAGACAAACAGACATAATTAACACTTGAAGGAATAAAAGGTAATGGACAGATTGATTATCCTCCAAGTAGTATGGTGGTGAACAGTTCCAGAGACATACACACACAACGCAACACCCCATAGAAAGACACTACACAATAATAATATTATGATAAAAATAACTAAGTCATCAGTGGTTCAAAGTTAAGGATTTCACAGAAAATCATTTAAAAAGGTAAAGCACAGTTTTATCATATTAAGATTTTGACACTGGATGTCCAGAAGAGTCACTTTTTTTTAAAAGGTGTACATAACTACTCACCGTTAGTTATTGGATGCGTAACCTGCAGAAAAACAAGAAGAAGAAGAGAAGCGATGAAAAGCGACGGATAAATCACCGAAAAACTGACACAAAAAAAGACATTATTTTTAGTTTCTGCGCAGTTAAAATGTGAATTCGAGTATGGTGAGTGATTCACAGTGCTATTCACTCTGTGATCCTCATTTTAATGACATGATAAACGAGAAATTCAAACGAAAGATACAAATTATAGAATGGATATGCTAAACGATGAAATATATGTTTGACCTTTTATTCTGTTTATGCTGGCCAACTGTTTATCACTTCCTCCTAGTTGACTATATCATTGATCTCATGCGAAAGACAAACCGTAAGCACTTCCTGACATAAGTATAAATCTTGGGCAATGTGGTAGAGATTTTATTTTGATAAATCACAGTCTTGCACAGTAATAATAAATGATTATTATTATTATTATAATACACCTGCGTTCCGCGTGGAACATATGGCTTCGACAACACATCTCCACTTCTTTGTTCTGTTTTCTGCCGTCCTGCCGTCTTCATCTGGTTGTTTTTTTTTTGTTTTACTTCGGCTATCTACTACGGGAGGATGAGCCGGCTTCATGAACGTCTCGAATCATCGCTGCCCAGGCGCGGCAATTTGTAAGAGAGTTCATGTAGTTTCATGGGAATTTGGTACGAGTGATGTCCCCAGCGTCGCTCGGCCTTTTGTTTGAGAGTGCAGCCCTAGCCTTTACACAGCCAAGTGTGACCTACAAGGCAGTAGGAGTGGAGTAAGGAGTCCACTATCCATTGGCAGCCGGTGACCGGAGTTCAGTTCATACGCCTTTTTGAATGGAGCCAGACATCCAGGACATCCAACAAGCCCTTTGTCCATACGTCTGCCGGTGAGCTCCAGTGAGCTTCATACGCCAGTCGTTGAAGGTTTGGAATCAGGGTTTAGCCATCTCCCCTAGACCGTCATCCAATGGACAGTCAACCCGGTGAGGAGCGCCGGGCATCGGCTTTTGCCCTCTCACTTTGGTGAGAAACACCTCCGCCACGTGAAGGCAGTGAGTAGGACTTCCTCAGGAGAGGCTATGTAAGACGCCCGGTCATATGGGAGCATTTCAAGAGGTGTGCGGGGGGGTGGCCAACCCGCAGCGCAAGGCACCCACCCCCGACCATCCTGAGGGTTCACGATTGACTAAACTCTCTCATCTCTTCCTCACCAAAAGATCTCCTGCATGTCACCCTCGCACCGATGACCCACTCGTCGCTTCCCATTTGGATTCCACTCGAGCAATCGCCTGGCGTGCGATGTCATTCGATGGTCTCCTCAATGTATGCCCGATCAATCCATCTCCACTTTCTCCTACATATTTGTTGAGCGATCGGCTCTTGCCTGTTGGTTTGTACTCACAGTTACTTGTTACTTATTATTTCTGGCCATTTTATCTTCAGCGAAAGTGGCAGCTGTTGATGAAAGTCTGCAACAGTCTGTTGGAAATCCTTTTCGTGACATACTGGTTAAGTTTCCGATCCGTAAAGCAGCACTGACTGACTTCACATTGGTGTTGTAAATCCTAATTTTGTTCCTTATGCTGAGTGCAGAAGATTTCCATACTGGTTTCAAGTTGATGAAGGCGTATCTTGCCTTTCCGATTGTGACATTGACATCTTCTTTCGTGCTATCCACCTGTCTGTGGTTGAAATCATGCTTCCTAACCAGATAAGTGAAGGAGGCAACCTCTGTTAAATCTCTCCAGTTGATGGTGGTTGGTGCTGGTTGTTGTTGCTGTTGGTTGGTTGGTTGTTTATCTTCATCACCTCCGTCTTCTCTGTGTTCACATGGAGTCCTGTTTTCGCTGCCAGCCTCTTCAGCCAGTTTGTTGGTTTTCGCTTGCAAGTCTTCCAGCTTGTTTGACATTAGACATAAATTCTCGTCGGAGAAATCCAGATCTTTTAGAGTCTTCTCATCGGTCGCCCAGCGTATTCCCGCGTCTTGGAACTACCTATGCGCAGTCTAAAGCATAATCGAGTCCACTACAATTAGGAATATCATTGTGGGTGATAATAGGCAGCAGTCTTGTCTTACTCCTGTATTCACTTCAAACGCCTCGCCTTGTGCGTCGGTGGCACAGTGATTAGGACTCTCGCCGACCATGCACATGGTCCGGGGTTCGAGCCCACGCCGACGCACACCTGATATCTATGGTCGGCCTGCGAATTTTGGGCTACCGATATCCACGCTGAAAATTCCACACTTGTACCAAAAATACGGTGTGGAATCAAGCTGTAATCAAAAATAAAATAAATAAATAAATTGTTTTCCGTTGTGGATCACCTGACACGCGGCATTTTCATATAGATACAGTTTCCAAATCATCACTTCTCGGTCAAGGCTGTCTGTCGAAGGCCTTTTGACAAGTTTTGCAGCCTAGATTGATGTCTGATTTTAATGTGATTACGTTCATTGAACAAGGTGATTTAATTAAGAAGCTTTTTGTTGTACTTTTCTAGATAACATCTTCAGTGCAAGCTCAATAAACAGAAATTAAACTTAGTTGCGATCAAAACGACTAATACTTATAAAAATTTACAACAAATCACAACGATTTACGTTGTCAGAAAGACACAACTACATCAATCATAGAGAATTCACATAAGTTCACATCATGCTGAAGTTGGCACCAAAGATGTCGAGAAGACGTCAATGAGAAAGTTTCGAAATTAAATCAATCAGCTTAGTGAATGCAAACACATTATAGAGGCTTTATTGACCGTGATAATTATGTAATTATGTCTACTAGTACGTAGCGGAGTACGGTAGGCACTCTCTATTGGTTGTATATTTTTTAAAATTTGACACAACCATTACAGAAAGCAATAAATAATTTCCGACATTATGTAACAGAATATAGGATGAATAACAAACACCAATATATTAATATAAAAAAAGTCGGCACACATAAGATAAAACAGAATCAAGATACCAATAATAAGGCAAATGTGGCTCACTTCAGATAAGGCGTCATCGATTATATTTTCTTCTTGTTCTTCAACTGTACACTTTAATTCACCATATTTTTGTAAGTGGATACGACAACCAGGACAAAGAAATCGTAATTGTCCTAACTGATTTATGAGCGACAGTGAGGAAGGGGGCGCGGCGGGTAGTTGTAATGTAATAAACAGAAGAGAAAAACAAAGACAAATAGGGAAGGAAATTCTTGAATCTTCTCTTCAATATATTCAAGTGTTTAATTTACACGGATTTGATTGATTCTAAGTCACAATTATAGATACACATTATATAGAGAATCAATTGATAGTTGTTTCGTCCTAGGTTAGGACTCTTCATCAGCACGGACCCAAAAGATATTATTCAGCTGCCCGAATGGTAAACAAAAAAGCCTCGTAACTTGAATGTACAACCCCCCCCCATGGGTTTATGGATGCTTGCTAACAAAATGTCCCAAACTAGGAGTTAACAGCTATCCGTTTACTGCCTACTTGTTTAACTGATGTCGATTCGTAATCTTAACAGAGAAATAACTAACTTCAATTGGTGAATTATTTCCAGAATTCAATAAGAAACAAAATAATGAGCATGTTAAGTGCTTAAAGTATGAAGGTTTCCTCATAAACCAATATCACTTGAAAAGATCAATGAAAACCAGGGGACATTGTCAAAATATAAGTCTCAAGCTCATTGATAGCCACCGGATGGATGTCCTGCAGATAGGTATACAGAAGTCGTGACCAATGCGATCCACAATGTGTGAGAAATAAGAATGCTTATGGAAAGCATTGTTAAAGGATAGTAACGTAACACGAATTGAAAAAGTTGTAATTCACTGAATTCCAGCTGAGATAGCTGAATGATGGGCAACGAGCTTGGGATCTCATCACCTGAAGGTGCTGAGTTTGACTCCTGGTGCAGTTGTGAGGCACACCATTGAAGAGTATCAAAATGGAACGAAACATACTCAGTTATTATTCTTAACTTATTGAATGCTTCAACCATGTCTGAAGATCAAAATGATGTTATTCGTTTAAATGAAGAAGCTTAGCAACGGGATTTAGACCGCATAACTTGTCCCGATCAATAACCAAAAGAGCATGCGGGTACAATCACAATATGACGAGTCCCGAATGGGACTAAACGTGCATCCCCGAATCCAGTGTCAGTCACTGTCAACAAAAATAACAAAATAAAAAAACCTGTTGTATTATTGTGGCATATGCTACTGATAAGATTCACCGATAGTATAAAACTGGGACCAGACAACACAGGAAGGAAACTCATCATGGATAGAGAAGCTCTCGGAGAAATGAATGAAAATGGAGAACTCTTCGCCGACTTCTGCGCCTTCAACGAACTAGTGATTCGTGGCAGTGTATACAAACACAAAGATATCCACAAAGCTACATGGGTGATGAAGATTCCTGGTCAACAGCAGCAACAACAACAGACAACAATCAGCCTGCATAAATGGGAGGAACCTGAAAGAAACAACCTCCTTTACTCACCGTCCTGGGAAGCATCGTTTCAACTACAGGTCGACCGAACTGACGACGATATCAAGGCAGCGAGGATCGGGAAAGCAAGACAAGCTTTCATTACTCTTATGTCTGTGTGAAGGTCAACAGCACTCAGAATCAAAAATAAGATCCGGTTCTTCAACTCCAACGTGAAGTCAGTCAGTGCTACTATATGGATCAGAGACTTGGCGTGTCATAAAGAGCATCTCGAACAAACGTCAGACCTTCATTAACAGTTGTCTTCACTCAATACCACTCAAGATAAGATGGCCGGTCAGAAAAGATCAGCAACAGAGATCTCTGGAAATGAGTGAACCAACACAGCAGGAACCGATTGTGAAACAAACAGGCAGGCAGAATGAAATGGAGATGGATTGTTGGTCATACGCTGAGGAAACCATCAAGTGACATCACTAGACAAGCCATCACTCGAGTGGAACCCGAAAGGGAAGCGAGCGGCGAGTCGGTCGTCAGTGCAATGGTGACTTGGAGGAGGTCATGTGAAGAGGAGATGAAAGCATGTGGGCAGACTTGGAGTAGGGTGAAAACGCTGGCAGAAAACCGAAGGCAATGGAGACTTTGGCGGCTGAAGCCCTATGTTCCTCTAGGAATTAAAGGATATAATAATAATAATCAGTAGTATAAAAAGAGTCTTTCCATAGGCATAAAGACATCAAATAGCAAGGAGATAGAACTGATGTCAGAGAAAGCAAATGATAATACAGGGTTGTGGAGACACTTGGGACACGGCACGACATGAAAGGAATACAAAGAAACCCACACCATATGACCTTCCGTTTTTAGATTTAAAAAAAACGATATGTTAAAAGATAATCAAATGATTGAAAGACTAGATGATAAGAGTGTAAGAGGGACTGAATATATATGGTTAGTAGTATTGCGCGTAACTTAAGTGGTGCTCGAAATTGTTCAGTCGATATATATATATATATATAAGAATTAAGGTAATTAACATGATTTCTTAAGAGTGGGGGTGGAGTGTAGAGTTAAAGTGGATGGATAGATGATATTATAAAAGACTATCTTCAAATTAAGTGGATTATTAATATTAAGTGAGAGGATTAAAGTGCAGGCAAATCGTGTCAAAAATTAAAATTACGATGATGTTGATGATGATAATAATAATGCAGAGAAGACGAAGATGAAGTGAAACGAAGTGGAGCGAATTCAAGTGAAAAAATGAAATTTTTAGAAAGAAAAACACAAAACAACAACAAGAGTACTATGACAAAGGTAAAGAGAGAGAGAGAGAGAGAAAACGTTTTTGTGAATAATATAGTTATTTAGATTTTTGTGTCATATAATATTGTTAAGGAGTGACATTCGGTTATATAAGTGGAGAGAATGCAAAATTTTATAATTGATTCAATTTAACTCTATAGATAACTAACCAGGCTGTGCATTCGTGTATTTATAATGAATGGCGGGGGCGGGGGGGGGTTTGGGAAAGTTCCAGAATAATTTCCGGTTAAGGGTTCAAATTAATAAGAATTACAATTTGGAATTAAAATGCCATAATAAACAGGGGGGGCACGGATAAAACTTAAACAAAGTAGCATCATAAATACTGAGAAGATTGACGCATACTGTGCAATTAGGAGTTAAAAATGTAGAAATAAGAACAACAGACAGGATTATAGGTTTCCAGACCGTAAGTGTTACGAACTTCCTGGAATAATTTGACAGGACTATACATTTTGATGATTAATAATAATCCGAATAAATCTGTTGAAGAAGCTGTGGCTTACACGGCGAAACGTTCAGAAAACTCTTGTTTCGATTTTCTTAACACCCTGGAATTAATTTAAATAATTTATAATGAATAGACAGGATGTTTGGATAAAAAAGAATCTAGTGGGATCATAACCGGCATGACGAATAACTGTTTATGCAATTAGACATGAAGTTCAGATATGAAAATATGGTAGTGTACCATGCGCCAACTTGCAAAACGCGCTCGTGAACACTATCCCAGTCTGGCTAGTAAAAGGAGAACGAAAATGTGTATATATTTCAGTGACAGAACATCTGGTCAACAACTCAGGATATTCAGTGACATTCGAAAAATATCCTTCAAAATCATGTACAAGATTCGATCGAACCTATCATCAAAAGGAGTAAAATTAAGACATCTAGGCATAGTTCAAGCACTACCCATCCAAAAGCTCACGTCCACGCTATATATCCATAAGAAATACGTTCAACTCTTGTCCCTTCCTTGGCCATTATAAACATGTAATTCCCCTAAGAGTGACTATCCCATTGACTCTCTTATTCAAACTTCCTGTTTATTCATATTATTTTTTAAAAGTTTTTCTTAATCCTCCTTATTTATACAACCATATTTTCATATCTGAACTTCCTATTTTTTTTTATTTTATTATTTCTATATATTATATCCCTCCCTGAATGTATAAACAATTATTCGTCACATTAGTTATGATCCCACTAGATTCTTTTTTTATCCAAACATCCTGTCTATTTATTTTGTTATTTCTACATGTCTAACCCCCTAATTGCACAATCAGCGTCAATCTTCTCAGTAATTAAGATAACTAACTATTAAAGAGATTAATCATCTGGGGGGTTAAGTGATCTAACTCACAAAAAACACTTTGATATCCCATTGAGGTGGTGGTCTTTTCAACCATCGACAATTGAGTAGTGTTCAACTAATCGTTTCCGGAGGACAACACTTATGAAGTCAGCTCGATTGGCCCATGTGAAAGAGTTGATACACATAAACATGAGCATAGGTAGTAGCTTATCATTCATAAAGTGCTGTATATTTCACCCCAGCACGACAGTAGCAGCTGTAAATCAGTGACCAAGTGCATTGGAAACATTTGGATAGACAACTTTTGAATGAGTACTTTAGAAGTTATAGGATTGATAACGAGCTTAAAAATCAGTTAGAGGACCATTGGAAACCATGGACCATGAAATGCTGAACAGCTATTTTGCCCTACCTAGAGACACTTCAACAGTAGGAGGCACCCACTGCCGGGGTTCGAAACCAGAAGCATAGGGTCGCGAGGCAAGCTCGTAAACTATTCATTCACCCACTGGAACCCGACCCAATAGTTCATAAATTCCAACTTCTGCCAATTCGTGATATGATATATATGTTTAGCGCGACCCGCAGCCAGTGTCACAGGCGAGAAAACTGGCCTCTTGCCTCACTACTTGGTGGACACCACTGGTTACGACTTGTCAGCAAAACCCCACGTAACTTCTTGGATAGGGCCAACCGCCAGTGAGAAAATCAGAATAACTAGCAAGTATACTAGTGGGGCTTATTCTTATCCTTCTGTCTATACTGATAGCAAAAGTCTACCAGGGTTGATTTGAATCTTTCTACGTTCTCAACAGAGGAGGCGACCAAGTCCCCTGTTTGTATATAGAAGTTCTCGAACTGTACATCGGTGTCAATGTAACTAATCTCCGTACGAAAATCGCAAAACTTAGGTCCTATAGATAACGCTTCAAGTTGTAGCTTGTCAAGAGTTACGATAGAAAAGTTATGGACGTACCTTTTTCTGGATTAGCAGGAAATCTGCATTCGGGAG